GTCACTTCAAATTTGCACATAGTAAATGGGTTTTAAATTGTATGAAATAACATAGTCCTATACATGTAGTTTACGACTCCGTATTGAGTTTTTACCTGAAATGTCCAGATTTTTGGAAAAAAAAATCAAAATTATAAAACAACATTTTGCAATTTAATTTTGAATGTGCAAAATCGATTGCTTTGAAATCTTGGAGATTTTAAAGTTGATATGTGTCCTTGCACAAAGTTGTGTAAAGAAAAAACTCAACTCGAAAATGCTATATATGTTTCATTGTACGTCAGGAGCGAGGGAAGTTCTGCCGAAGCAACTCTCGACCAATTTTATTGCTAATGAACTTTCCGCGTACACTTATTAAATCACATTCAGGCCGTTGAAATGTTTGAAATTGTTTCGTAGCATCTTACTTCTTTCCCAACTTACGGAAGACCATTTTAAACACAAAGTGTGTGTTTAGTACTAAAACCTGAAATAATAAAAACGATAGTCGCTGTAGGTACCCATTTAATCATGCGCCGGCCATAAATAAACTTCGACCCTAATAGTTTTTCCGTAAATATTTCTGATGATCTGGATATCGTTCACTTGATGTAAAATTAAATTTGAAACCTAGTTTAAGCCTACACTTAAATGCAACTTATACGTTGGATGCGTGTAAAAATAATGCTCTTGGTCTACGAACGTTGCTGTTTTATTTGATTATAATTTTAAAAATAAACGCTAAAATATTTGCACAAAATCGGCCGCTTATGTAAAGTCAGAGTGATAATATGTTAGAAAAGTCTAACACGATAATAAAATAACTGTCAAACCTAGGTCAAAATTTATCAAGCTGTGTTGTAATTATAGCAATAACTCCTGATACTGCTTTAATTACAGTCATTATCTTGAAGAAAAATATGATATTTTAAATAGTTATATTAACCGACGTAAAGTAAACATAAAATGTGTAACGATGCCAATAAAAGTATGTCTTATACACGAATATCTTTTTATTAGATAAACACACAGAGCTTTATTCTTGCCACTTTTTAACAATACAAATTCGTGTACGTATTATTAACATAATGCTGTAAATGTCTTGCGGTTTTTAACATCACTCATAACAATATTTACAACGCAAACTGCCTAAACATTTATGCTTGAAACTTTATCGTTTTCAAGGAAAGGAGATCCCAATTTTTTCCTATTCGTTTCATGTGCAATTATAAAGAATAATCGCTCGTTTTCGGTGATTTGATGATGATTTTAACGACTAAAGTTTGCCGATTTAAATACATCGTGGGTGTCAAATCACGTTTTGTTGTCTTTAACCGTTCAAAAGGTGATGATTTCACTACGGACTGTCGTTTGTTAAAAATCTAACTCCTCCTAGAGGAACAATAGAAATTAATAGATTCTCGTGACAAAAACTACAGTTACCATTTTAAAAACCAACTGTAAATCTAGTTTTGTTTTGTTTAAAGGAACAACAATATTTTGCTAAAATTTAGGCCACAAAGTAAACATATAGCAGAGGTCAGGGAAAGCACAGGTTTGATGGAAAATAGTTTAACTCGAACTCGGTTAGATTCGAGTAGTGGTTTGAGCGTCGACGAGGTGCAGCTGCCAAGTCTAGTTTTTAGAATCTCCGCACCCTTTTCGTTATGTCGTCAGTAATAGCAATTATAATAAAACAGTGTAGCAAAAAAAACCTACGTAGGTTACATATCGAAATAAAAAATACTTAGTTATTAATAAGAATACGAATTCCGGTGTGAGAGGGACACGCATTCAACGGTGTGACTTTATTGATGCAGTGACCTTATACGCACGTAGGAATCTGGCTGATAACCAGTCTCAAGTAAAATGAGACTCGTTGATTGCTACAATTAATTTGCATTCGTTAATGTATCAATTCATAAAAAAAATTAGCTCGATTTCGTTAAAATAACCAGATTTTTAAGCGAACTTACAAAACTAAAACAAATGTGCTGTCGTGTTTATGAAAATATATTTAGAGTTTTTTAGTTTTTGCGTAAGCTGTGGATCAAAAGAAGCGCCTTTATTTTGGTTAATTGTTGAAACGTAGTACCTGTACAACTTAAAAACTTAATAAACGAATGGATAGTTCAAAGAACAAACGCTGCTTTAGAATCAAACACATGATTCATCTTCTACAAATAGATTACTAAATTAATTGATGTGGAACCCCCTAGCTTATAATACTTAGCTAACCTTTATATTTCTTCGTATTGAAAACAATCCTATGTGTATCAAGTGTTAGAAATATTACGTTCCCGGACATAAATTTTTTCTAGGCGAATTCAGTTTAAATGAGCGGAACGTAGATAAAGCAATTTGCGTCGTTTTATTAATAATATGATACACAGTTGTAGTACAATATATCTTTTTTTATTTTCGACGTTTTCTAACGCCAAGCTTCTGTTTTGTGTACGCGCTACAAAAATACTAACGAAATGGTATGCACTATTAATGTTAATAGAGATGCTTAAAAATGAATAGGGATACGTTTCATGGTATGACTCATCATAAGAGTTCGTTCCTAAACATAATTTGTATTTTGGCGGTAAATTATTAAACAGTTCGACATCGACGATGGAATTTGTTATTAACTATTATCACTAGTTTTATTAATAGTGTGGATAGTCCGGTTTCCAAATAACTGGGGTGGATACACCACCGCTCTCTTTTCCTACAATAAAATTATGATCTAAGTTTGTAGAGGTCAGTTATTTTCAATTTAGACTGAACTGGTAAATTTAGTCCACATGTAGGTGTACCTTTTATAACTTCTATACGCAAAAACGTACCAAATATTGATTAAATGAGGAAATTTAATTAAATGTGTTCGACTAAAGGTATCTCTGAAGAGTATCCTCTGTAGTTTTAAAATATGCATATTGTTAATGAACACGATAAAAGTCGTACACCGTTTCGGTGAAAAGCTAACGTTTTGTGGGTGGTGAATGGGAAAATAGCGTTATTATTAATGATTAGTGGTTTGTTTCTGGAAAGTGTGAATTGTAGCCGCTTTCCTGAGAAAAGGGGTAGTTCACTTCGCACCCCCGTCAGTTAATGGCACTGTAAACGACTTAGTCAGACAGGTAACGCAGTGCCTTGTTCTAGGAAATGAGCCTACTAAGATATTGATTGTTGGTAAACAGAATATCAATTAATATTTGAATCTGGACAGTAAAGGGGAGGGAAGTATGAGGGGTGAAAGGCGGCGTGTCACGTCTCATTCAACTCAAACAAGAATGCCCCTTTTCACATCTTTTAAAAAAGTATTATTATTATTATTATTAACACCACCACCACCACCATCATCATCATCATCATTATTACTGTTATCTTCAATACTATTAACTTTATCATTATTACCTGTAAAAAATTGTTGTACCTACGCAATTACGAAAAAATTCATTAATCTGTCGTTAAGCAACCTCAATACGCGTTTATTTGATGTCTTACGTTTCCAGCGAATCATTGCAGTTTAAAGTTTACAAGCATAATTTTTCTTGCGTTTTTTAACTTAGGCACTTTCTGAATATGAAAGGGTGGTCCAAGACCCACATCTATTTTAAAAAGTCAAGTTGTTGCTTTTATAATGAAACGCGAACGTGACGACCACAGCGTCACCCGAGATCCTGTCTGTCTGCACTAGTTAAATACATACTAAGGAATTAATCATATAGGCGATATTTCTTGCCCGAAATTGAGGAGATAATTTATGATCGGATCTTTCCCAGGTGGGTGTTACGTACTTTTTAATAATAATTCTCACCTTCAAAATAACAGGAATTTGCCTCTGACGGTGAAGAACCACACACCTGTCAAATTTTATCAATTAATATACTATGATATTATAATGGTATATTTTTATACAGGTTTTCGTTCTATTTCAGTTTACAGCAGTTCAAAGTTCTGCTTCAAACTATACTTATTTACAAATAAATACGTCATTTGTCGATGGACAACTAGTCAACAAATTGGAAAAAACTTTTAACATGATGGTTAGTTTGTTTTTGACTTTTTTTTTTGAAAAAAATGAGAGCAGCAGCTCCTTAAGTTTAAGCTGTCGTTGATGTCTGTCATTTAGTTAATAATGTTCTTGACGCTGAAATGAAGTACTAAATTAATATCAATAAAAGATTATTAAATTATTTGTATATTAGTTTAACAGATATATTGATAAATGTAACACTAAAAGTAATACTTTTGTGTTAAACAAGTTACTTTAATTTGTTTTTGGCGAAAATTGATTAATGTAGAAACTAATATGCGTAACGACTATTAAAAATTTTTTTTGTTTTTAATTTGTGAAGGTGCTACTAACACAATACATGTGAGTGAGATGTAATAATATACTTGACTGAACGTCAGATCGGGTTTTCTACTTTAAAAAGTTTTATGACCTTTTTATAGCCGGTTTGTTTCTGAAGGATTCATTATTCAGGGTGGTCATGCCACAGAGAAAAAATGCCAGCTGTAATTGCTGCCGAAAATCGCATTCTGCATGTGCAAACTACCGCTTGATAAAACAACAAGAAAAAACAATTTTCTCTGCGCGGTAAAAATCGGAGACATCACGTTCTGACTCGTATTTTTGAAAGAACATACTCATAATTTGTCCCAAAAGTGTTATTGCTTTCACTGACAGTACGTGGCGTGGTTTATGACCTCCCCGACACACTGAAGTAAAAGGATTTCCTCAACTATTTGATAAACAAAACTAAATTAATACGAGGTGTAGCGAATGTATACGTAGAGATTTAAAAAATCGCACTAAGTCCTTAGTAGTGCGATGCTAGCATGCAACATTCGCGAGGCGCATCGTGCCGCAAAATTCCGACGCGGGGTACGATTTTGAGAACACATTTATGTGGATGTTCGTTAATAAGGGTAGTTTCCCCGAAACATATCCCCACTCAGATCGTGATATAAAAGTGTGAGTGGCGGCAAGCGCGTTAAGTTTAGTTCAACCGCTACATCGTATCGTTGCTGACGGCCAGCTAGCTGACGACGTCGGCGGGTTGCGCGCCAGTGCAAGTGCATGTGCCAGGTGCATAAAAGTGAAGTGAGTGCGCTAGTCACTAATGCCGGCTTAGCCCCCGGCTATGGGCTGCAACTTGTGGGCTACAACAGCGGCGTGGACGTTCCTGTATATAGTGCAAGTACTAAGTGCAGACAGCAGCCTCTTCCAAGATTTGGGGCTCAGCACCCTTCCGGACGTCACCAAGGTACACGGGGTCCGGCGGTCGCTCTAACCCTCCCCGAAATTTCCAAATTTTCGGTTTCATACACCGCGCACATTTTTTGCCGGAGTCAAGGTTCGAATGATAACATTAGTCACACGACGTAGTAGTTCTTCAAGGAATTTTGAGTTTTGAAAGTTTCAAGGAACTTCGATTAAATTTTGGTCATAAGTTACAAGGTTGCAATTCAGTTATCCTTGTGACCGTTATTTAAGTTCCGGCAGGTAATACCCGTCTTAGGAAATCCCGGAGCAACCGACCGGAACTAGATTTTCCACTCTACATAAACCGGAGCCGGCCCTGACGGCGAAAATCCGTCGTTTGGGTTTCGTTTCAAAATTATAAACTAGCAAACATAAATCACATGGCAAGGTAAACCATTACCGGTAACTATTACAATAATAAAATGACATCATTCGACATCTTTAAAAACCGCTTCGGAAAAGTCGAAGAAAATGTTCGTCGCTCGAGTGAGGATCTTTGGCAGGAATTTTGATAGTTTACTTGTTATTTTGATTATGAGCTGGCTCTGTCACGCATGTGGTGGTCTCCCGCCAAAACTGTCGTGTGTTTGAGCTCGAGAAGTTAAAATAGAAACGGGAGCAACCTTCATTTCGACACTGAAATCTCTGTTTAACATCATCAAAACTCATTGTTTTGCTGCGAGGATGTTACTCTCTATGAACTCAACCACTTGTTGCTTATACTACATCCTTTTTCCACAGATCAACATAAGCCAGGACGAGTACACTCGGATGATGAGCCTGTATCTTGACAGCCGACAACAACATTCAACAGAAGATTCCATTCCTAAGCTTATCACATTCTACGCTGGTAAGTAGAACAAACCTCAACAACACAAAATGACAGTTGACATCGATCTGTCAGTGTGTGTGTCGTACTAATACCTGTCATTTTTGAGCAAATCATCCGAAAACTAAAAGAGTGAAAGTTGGCAGTCATAGTGCAAATATCTGTACTTGCCAGTTTCTCCAGTTGTTACAGCAACTTTTTCCTCCGGCATTTGAAAATAGTCTTATTATCTCTCACGATGATTTTGGAATTTCCTACCCAAATTAATATAAAGACATGAAAGTATAATGAGAACGTGCCGCCTATGTTTTGTGACAAGTTGCACAGTCATTATCATTATAATGACCGGTGCAACGGGAACTAATGACATCATCAAATGCTCACGTAAGCTCCATATCAAAAAAGCTCACCTAAATTATTTCACAAGTCGAATAATTTCAAGCTCATTTCACACGTTGACGTTAAGAGTGACTAAAAAACGACGATAATTTCCACATAAATAAAAAGGTCGCTCCAGAATTAATAAAGGTGTTTTAATATCAAAAGTCAAAATTTAAAAACGAGTTCAGACAATTTTATCACGACTCGGAAATTATCGCAAATTGCTTAAGGGAACGATAGTCACAAAACAATGTGAAATAAAGGTAACTGACTGATAACACACGTACCTGTCGGTTAATCTTACCATCACTACTTTGTGCAATGTCAAGTGTCAAGTTCTTCATCAGATAGGTACCACAACATCGCTATAACTTACCTCGTCAACACGCATTGTTGACTTGCATACAACAAAAACAAGTATTTAAGCAGCAAATGTCAAAATTGACGGAATCATTTCTTTAAATAATTTTTTCGCATTGTTACACCATTAGCATTGAAATCTCTCCAAGAGTGTCTTTCCACTCCGGGATTTCCCATTGCGTGACACTGAAAATTTATATTCTTTGCGTTGGATTTCATAACGACTTAAGATCAATCAAGCAGTTCGAAATGATTGTAGCCCAAGATAAAAAATAAAAGATGAGTTGTGGCTGCCCTTGCTCTGTCATTAAAACCAATGGTACTGATTTTCATCGGGATAATAAATTTACATTATTATGCTTGGAATCTTGTTCCGACGTGAACGTCGGATACCTGGAGGTTTACATTTCCACATAAACTACGGCTCGATGAAGCCAAAAAATCACGTTATTGCGTTCTAAGTGGACATATAATTAGAACAGTAACTGTAAAATTAAATTTTTTTGGTCTGATAATAAAAAAGCTAGAGTCCAGTACAACGTATGATGATAATATAAAGTAAGATAATAAATACTATTTCAGCTTTTTTTGTACTTTTACATATGACAGCTATCTCATTAGAAAGTAACTCTAAAGAAACAAATTCAAACTTTCAACGAAATTATCACTTATTCGTAATAATCGTTACTTGTAACTATAAAATTAAGGTGAATACGGGTTCATTAACAAGAAAAAAGCTTTCTAATTACGAGAAGTAACACGAAAAGTAAATTGCATCAACAAAATTCTGATGTAATTTTTATTATAATTAAAGCTAGCTGCACTTATAAAATTTCTGTTCTGGTAATTTCATAGTTGCTGTCAACCTGTTTTCGGGTTAAAATTAATTAACATTTTCAATGCCGCCTTATCAGATAATCTCACCTTAAAAATACTTGGACAGATGAAGTGACACTTACAGAACAGAATCACCAAATACCACGGGTATTTCAATATATAACTTTGATACCTAAAGATGTCTGTTTGTCACTATTTATAACGGTTCAAGAGTACGTATCAAGATGAGCAGAGCCAAAAAAAAATAAAGTTCATAAATTCAATTTCGGATGTTTTCAGCCAGGAGAAAATTGGTGATTAAAGTATGCCGCAAGCACATTGATGATCGCATGTGTAAAGTTTGAGGCTTATCATGAGAATAAAAAACAAAAATCTGCACATTTATACCGTCATTGGAGAGAGACGCGACGTTTATAATTGGTACGAGTCAGGTTAAAATTTTGAAGAAAGCTGATAAAAAGGGAGATAAAGGTTTACCTGAGAATGATGAAGCGGACGTTAATGTTGTTTTATATTAGTTTCCAGTTTTTAATTTAGCGTTGTAATATTTTATTAAACGGTAATTATTGGAAATTTTGTAATGGTTACCAGAAACACGTTTTTGGCACTTGTTAACTAATTTTTTGCGCGTCACGTGGCCACCTATAAATCAACAGTTTATGCATAATTTGTTGATTTATTATGCGAAATACAATATCCGAATTGCTTAATGAAATCTGTTTCCTAAGAGTCATTGATAAATATAAAATATACTTAAGAAACACCTGTTCTTGGAAGATAATTTATAACATTCAAACCTCATTCGTTTATAATTGACTTGATAATTGACTAATAGATACTTTGTAAATAATATTAAATTCCAGTGAGCGAAGGATCAGATGTGATTATCATCACTTTCTAGTTTTTTTCAGAAATTATACGAATGATTTGTTTCAAATCAAATTCAAATTAATTATTAAAACATTTCAGCTTGAATTTAAGATAATCGAGGTCAGTTGTGATTTACAAGATCTTCGATATCGACTCTTCTGTGGAGAATTTCATTATCTTCACCACTCCGTTTTCTTAATTAATCAAAATAACTCTCGATTTATTGGAATGTACATTTAATTAGTCAAAACTATTTATGTCAAAAAATTTCTCTTAGGGGAAACTTTAATGAACGTGTTTTTAAGAAAACTTTTACCGATTAAAATTTGGCTAGGGGAGCGCAGGCCACAACAGACCAACAACCAAAAACAAACGTACCTGCGAAAAGAGTAATCATAGTTATTTCTTTTAGTAGGTACCACAGAGTGCAATTTTGGCGAAATGTAAGTACGTCCGGCTGTCGCTATATTGGCGCCTTCTGAAATATGCAACATGTTCCGTTGTCCTCTACACGTTCGGCCTTCAGTTTTAATAAAATCTATGCTGCCGCTACAATAAACAACAAATTGAAGTGGTCAATATTTTAAACGAAAATCCATTTAAATCGCTGTGTGTGATCTGTAGCGCGATTGTTCAACGAATGAAGGAATGCTCGACTCGTTGACTTTAATGTGAGTTATTGCAGGTTTTGTCGTTATGCTATAAAAAGATTATTGCGGCGATATTTGTATTATATATGTTTTACGAAGAACCACTTACGAACAGAGATAGTACCAATTTCTGTTCCGTGCACGGATTGTGCTGTAGAATTTAGGTCTCATTAAACCATGAAAAATGCAAAACATGAACGTTTAATGTTCGAGAACAAAATAACGCGTAGGCTAGAATAACGTTGAATTCATAACTTTGTTTATGCTAATACTGCATTCCGCTATAAACTATATGATTTGATTCGTAAGGTGAGTGAGGCTTTGATAAGCCGAAATTGACGAAACCGGTCTATTTCCACCGGGCGCGTATTTTCGTGATTCTCACAGCCTACTTTTTGCGACCGTCTAATAAATAAAAAACTTGGAAGGTAGCTGAAAATCATTGTTTAAAAATTGTCTGTGACAAATGATGACATCATAAAAGATTTTCTCACCGACACAACACTTATTCTAAAACTTTTAAATAGACTGTCGTCTCGTCTTATTAAATAAATAATAAACAGAAATAGGTAATAATTATCAAGTAAACACGGCTATAAAAGTTTATTGGCGACTTAAATTGGTCAGTACCGCTAATTAACAATTATGAATATTAAAATGGAAAAAGTACGTGTTTCGTAACAGATCAGTTCCAAAACACAAAAGGGTAATGAGCTTGTGTCGTGTTAAGTTTTGTTTAACTTGAAACCGTTTCCATTAGCCAGTCACATTTTGAAAGCAGCTACTGACAGGTGTAGACTGCTTCTACTTACCAGGAACACTCGGTTTACAAATCTGGCGGTTATAAAAACACTCCTTAAATCCTTAATGGAATTACGACTCATTGCTGAAATATTTATGATAAATGATATAGAGATTCAAATTTCGATACAACATTTATAACATTAAATAGCAGGTGTATTCTACACACGTGCTAATTGTTTATTCTCAAAACCGAAGAGAAACAATTCACTGCCCCAAACCGTGTCAAAACGTCCTGACTAAACGAAACACAGATTTATAGTCACAGTCACCCTAAAATTGATTTAGTAAACGAGCAGGTGCAACTCTCTAACATGCATGCAACGAATATGTAAACAACACAATAATAAAAATCTCTTACAAGAGAACAACATTCTCAGTTCTAATTACTCACAGCTAGGCTAAAAAGAAAACGATGTTACAGTAAAAACCCTTCATTAAGACGTGTTTATTGAAAAACAAATACCTGTAAGTGTCAAAATGAGTGATAATTATAACGAGATAATCATTAGCATTGAACTTACATTTACATGCTGTCGACCAGGGAGGTTAATGAAAACAACAACCAAAAGACCGTAAAACACAATAAATCAAAATTGTTTTCAATTAATTGCAAACTAGAATTACTGAGGCGTTTAACAAACCGGCAACACGACACAATTTCAACTTTTGAAGTCACCTTGATCTAAATATTCGTGTTCGAAAGGAAGGATTTTACTCGCAGAGATACCATTCTTGTGAAAATAATAACGTTGGACATAAGAATGTATCCAGACGCCAATTTTGCGTAATCTGCATACTTACAAAATTACAAAATTTTGATTTGTGGCATAATTTTGACTGAAAATTTCTGTAGTAGTAGAAGTACTACACAACATGCGCAACGACCGTCACGTGGTATCGTTTTATTTACAATTTTGAAAATTTGGATCAGTGACATATTTCCACGTCTTACAACCTACATACGCTGGATGTCCGCGGTGCCATCTGTCATACTCTCTTGCCAATTTGTTCGTGTGAAGCTTCTACCTGTTGTGTGAGATTTTTATTTGTGAACGAAATCTCCCAAAATACGTCGATTTTCCATTGTTTTATTGGTTGCCATATTTTTGGTATCTGTGTTTAAAATTTCAGGCGTGTGCTATAAATATGATTTTTGTCAAGAGTAGGTGGTCGGTGAGATTACATTGTTATATAATTTAATTTTAGTGATTTCATTATTCAGAGGGAATTTCTGTGAATGGTGAGACAGAGTGTAAGAATATCATATGATAGGTTTTAATTTAAAGCGGAATTCGATGTTATTACTTAAGAAAGAAAATTTATGACCTTTTTATTTACTACAAATGCGATTTATGTAGATACACATTTATAAAGACACTAAAAATATACAAATGTTGGTAGTTTGTCGCGTCACGAGTATTACGTTGGCGGAGTTACTTCTATAAATAAAATCGAAAAATCAAAAATAGCTTTATACCTTCGTTCCTCGTGTTATCTTTAATCAAGTTAACACCAGACGCATTGTCCTTCTGACTATTTTTATTTTGGAATTATGTCAGTCCTTAACGCTTCGCCTTGCTACAAATCGGCATTTTTGAAAATTCCAAAATTAGAAAAAATGTCACCTAATTAAATTTAATTAATGCGACCCGCTAACGAGCTGTATTATTCCTATAAACAAAAGAAAATAAATGCAAATTCCGCCGTAGACCACCAACATCAAGAGTTTTGCCGACTCATTTATTGTTTTCCCCAAAAGAACTTACAAATGTTACAACTGATTGTCAGCAGTTAGCCCATTTGTTAATCGTGTTAGTGAAAGCTTGAATCTAAATAACAGCTATAAAAATAAAGATACAAGGACTGTTCAAATTTTACTCGCTTGTTTACATGTGCCGTTAGTTTTGTTAAAGAAAGTGGTAACGCCGCTAAAGCCGATACCTTTCAAGAGGACGAATTCCATACACAATGTTGAAACGGAGCTTTCGATCACATGCGGATATAAAAAACACACGACGATAAATATAGCATACGGAAAGGCAGAGCTCATAACGAAAATAAAACAACCTAAAGAAGCAAAAAGCGTTTCAGTGCAGACCGCTCTCGTACGTTTTAATGCGTCCGCTTATCAAAAAATGTATAATCACTGCGATTATCAAACAACAGAAAGCAAAATCATTTGATGCTAATTTTACCAGGTAGATCAGACGACAGCGACTGTCATCGCTTGGAATTGATTTCATTTTGATTTGATAATTTTGATAATTTGATCATTCTGTCTGAGGAAGATAATTTATTGCACCTCTCTATCTATATATCCCGTAAGTAGTAAATAAATCAACTGCGCCGATCCAGTTATTCCAGTTGTACAAATAACCAATTTACTTCTTTTAATGTATGCATTTAATAGGAGCATCGTGGCCGCCATCAGATCAAAGATTTGATGCTCGTGTTGAAGACTCTTAACAGAAACTACCATAAAAACCAGCTGACGATATACAGATAAGACAATTAGGAACACTTATTCCTGCGTTAGATTTACATGCGCTGACACTGAATAGACGTGTGGTCAATTAGTTTCTACTTGATCTCCTAAAAAATACATCGCAAGTGACTTGAGTGCCTTCAACAATAGTCGCCATAATTCATTGCAACATAAGTGCGGTTTTTAACAGTTAGAGAAATGCAAAACTCATCGTGAAGCTGCATTGCTTTTAGCACAACCAGAATCTGCAAGAGACGAGTCATGGAATTCATTAAAATGCTTGTGAGGTAGAAATTTCCGACAGACAAAAAGTGTAATGATCGTTTTGATCGGGTCGTTAAATGTCACAGTAGACAATCATTTTTCGAAAGTAGCAGTGATGCTTTCTGGTTCATGTCCAATTAAGATGGCAAAACTGGAAGTTAATTGAGTTACCCGATAAATATTTTAAAAAACGGAGTTAATAACGTTCTGTTGTATATATTAGACATGCTACTCGCAATCAAGGAAATGATCTCGCGCCAAATATTTTGATGATTCATAGATAAAAAATGTATCGCTAATTTGTGTCCGCTTTTCAATAACTTTCGCACACAATATGTTAGATCCTTGATCGAGCTATCACATAATTGCTGTAAGTAATTTTGGGCGAACCAGTTTCGATGTAATTACCGGGTCATTATACAGTTGTTTTCTAAAGAAATGTTTATTGGTCATATGATAGTGGCAATGTGGTTTTAAGGGCAACGGCCATATGTGTTTACAGAAAAGTTTGAATTTGATTTGATGCCAGTGGGTGTCAGCTCTAGCATCCACGTGCTCTAAAATTGACGCAACTTTTGCGAATTCCCATATATAGCGTGATTTAAGTCGGAACCTCCAAAATCATTCTTAAAGTAGAGTAAAAATAAATAAACCTGGAACCCACGTCCTCTGAATCACTGATGGTTGGCTTAAAAATGAATTATTTGGAATGCCTTCGCGCATCTGACATGTTTTGCTCATAAATTACCGAATCCGATATTTTCCACGACTTTTTGCCCCGACTTCTACAGTGCCCTTTTGTTTCAGTGAAGAGGGATTGGTGGCCAAATCGAGAAGACTCGCGGCTGAAATTTCCGATCCGACCCAGCAGTCAGGAAATGGAGGTAGAGAGTGCCCAACTTCGCATTTTGGCACCTGCTTTTGTCGACGGCCACTCGACGGCGGTCCGCATCCAAGTAAACCAAGTTTTGGGCGTGAGGCGACGAAGGCTGGTGGACGAAAAAGTCATCTACCTGTCACCAAACTTGACCAAATGGTGTGAATTTGAAGTGACAAGTGCAGTGCAATCCTGGTTTAACGGGGAAAGGAACTTAGGTTTAGAACTAGTTTGCATTGACTGTAGAAATAATTACTTGAAACCTGTAGAAGCCGCAATTAGTGCTTTAGTTTACCCGGAACATAGACGTTTCCGACGCGCAAGTTCTCCATATCAGCCGGCGAGACGCACAGACTGTAGGGAATCCAGGAAGGGGACGAAGCGAAAGTGTTGCAGGCACAACATGATCGTCAAGTTCGCTGAGCTGAAGTTCCCGGAAATGGTCTCCATAGTCCAGCCCAAATCTTACGAGGCTGGGTTCTGCCAGGGGCAGTGTCCACCTAACTATAACCATGCCACGAACCACTCGCGGATTCAAAGTCTACTTCACCAAATGGACCGCAAAAATGCCAAACGCTTAAACCGAAGAGCTATACCCAAAGCTTGCTGCACTCCTTCCAAGCTTGAACCCTTAGAGATACTTAGGGTTAATCCCAGTGATAATACCAAGCTTATTGTAGAAAAGTGGGATAATATGCAAGTTATTGAATGTGCGTGTTCCTAGTGTAGATATGCCAAAGACATATTTTTTAAAACATTACGGGTCAATTGAGCATTTCTGCATTGAATTTTCAACTATTGTTTCTGTGATATACGTATTGTACATTGTGTCATCTGTCAGTTATATTTATAATTTTTCATTGTTAATGTATCTCCTCAAAAGTATTATTTTAACTCATTTTTTATATTTAATTTAATAATATTACTGTGTAATGTATGTACTGATGACGTTTACCAGTTTTGTAGTATCTACGTCTTTTATTATACCTTGCACACCAAAAATATTACAATACTTGAACCATGACACCTGAAAGTAAACTGTGTCAAATGCCACTACCCAACAACCTGGAAGAAGTTAAAAAATGAGTATTTGAAGCTCCATATCTATCTACAGTTATTACGGAACCTGTTTCCTAATGATATATGAACTAGCACCCACACAAGATGATTTAATAATATGACAACCAAATATTACAATTGTGTAGCTGTACAATTCTTCAAATATGTTTGAAGGTTGAACACGTATATGCGGAACATGAAACACTCGATTTAAAGTAAAGCATTTTTCCCCTTCACTAAGTGTGCTGTGTATTCAAACCGACGCCTATTTAAAATGGTGTACCGCATTCCTTCATTGTTACATATGTATGATGTAAGTCAAAATTTTAAAACACGTACATATTTTTCTCTCCATATTAGGAGTCTTAACAGAGTATTCATAAGCAGGGTTACGGTAAGTATTTGGATTTCCACTGAATTTTTACAATAATGACTTGCTTAACATACCTGTATCTTGTAAAAGTAACTTTTATGGTCTAGACATATCAAAAAACAAAGACAGCCTGGGAAACTGATGACGTTTATTACTACCTTAATGGTTCTTTATATTACATATTGGTTCATTGGCAAACCGCAAGCTTTATTACAATAATAAAACATGTTTAAAATTATAAAAATGAGTTTTTACAAGTCGTTTATTTCGCGTTAACAGATCTTTAACGAATTACTTTTTAGATATTTAATTATGTATAAAGTTATTTGGTCACATGAATTAGAACGTCACAAAGAATAATAAAATAAAAAATTTTAATAAAATTTGTTGTAAATTTTTCACATGACGCATCAAGTTGATACACGAGATGAATATATAAATTTCAGCTGATATTTTGTATCCTCTGAATCAATGTCTTCGAAGAAGTCTACTTAGACAAGTTTTGGTTACCGTTTACGAAGAGTTTCAAGTATTCCTTAAAATTTTAAAGTATTCGGTTTGGAGATCGTTTGTCTAATGAAATCGCTAACAGACGACAGACAGATGGAAACAGGAAACCTGCAGTTGGTATGTTAAAATTTTGAAACAATAAGAAAACATGAAATTGAACATCTCAAAATAGCCCTTGTATAATAGAACTGTCGGTGTCAAACTGGAGTTAAAATTCGAAAATCAATGAAACAATATCATTATATTTAAGAATACATAATTCAAGTCGGAACAAGGTTTTCGTCTATCACTTGTTTTAATTTAAGTGATTCATCTAGAAGAAAATACAATGCGAGAGATTTAAAATCGGCCAAATTATAATTTGCGACATCTGTTAACACCCTTTTTAATTTCTAGTTAGTTCAAGAATACTGTATTACAGACGAGCCAGAGGACATCTAATGACGATTTATTGAAGTAGTCTCAGCTGACAGTAATTGTAGAATTAAATTTTGTCTGTATCAAAAATTTATTAAACAAATCAACTAATTATCCACTGATCTAAGCGAATAATTAAGCTAAATAATAACGACAATCTGCAATAAACAAGTTTTACCACATACAGATGTCACCACCTGTCACAAAAATGTATTCTTGACCAAGTTGTGTCACAACTTTTACAGAAATCTGTACAGCTAGATTTTTATTTTCATTTTTGGCAGTGTTTATATTTTGTTTTTGCTAATTTAATAACTGATGTAGGCATAGTGTAAAATAAAGCAGTCTAGTTTTTTTTCGCATTCAAACGTATTTATTCATTTGCTGTATGATTATGTTCGAAATATTTGCAAAGTGTTAATTATTTAGTTGGCAAATTGAAGTTTGTTGATCCTTCTATTAAAATAATTATTTGAGGAGAAAGGCAAAGTAATCTCCGCGAAAATCCAGGTGAGTGACTTTATTGTAAAAATAGTTTTATATTCGTACCCTAACCTCAAATAACTCATCTTCCATAAAATAGATAAATGACAAAGGAGACATGCAATGTCATCACTTCCTTTTTGAAAAAAAAAGTTAAATGGTAGCCAAGTTACTTAATTTTTTTTACAGTGACAAAAATGAAAAGTTCGTATTTTGTAATGTCTGCGTTTTTTTTTTTTGTAGCACCTAGGTATACTTTTCTATATTTATGTTTTCTGGGGTGTTTCCACATATTTAATATATATTTATTATTAATGAATAATGACACAAGTAAAAAAAAGTAATTTTCAGATTCGGAATCATGAAGTATAAAATAATAAAAAAATATTACACGGAGTTTCCCTTGTTTCTGAAGCATTACCAAGTAAAGAGTTATTTATCAATTTTTCGCAAATAATGTGACTAAATGGATATTTTTTAAATTAAAAAAAAATTAAAAAAAAAAAATACATGCATAAATTTGAAGTTATAGCAGTTCATTAGTAACAATATGTTGTCGACATATTGTTGCGTTCATAATATCGCTACCTACACCGATTTCTGCTCATTTACACACTAGACACTAGAGGGAGCGACACTGGCTTCGCATATAAAGCTCGCCTAGTGTTCAAAGCCGTCGATATTTTTGAAATTTTTAATTTCAGATATCGGTTCTGGTCAACTTGAAACTTCAAACATAGTTTCGCCATGCAAGTGCGAACATTGACCTTACCTATGCGAGCTATTTTTGTTTTTTTCTCATGCCAGCCCAAGTTTCAGGATCTTGCGACGACGCAATTCCTAACACGTGTTCAGTTAAACAACTGACACCGTGGTGTGAAGTAAAATTATTAATTTGTGGGGATGGCTGTTATCAATTGCAGGTTTAAAAATAACCGATCATTCCGAACCAATTTATCAAGCGACCGACGTTTTATTGAAGTCGTCGTTAATTTTCTATTAGATTATAGAGAGGCAACCCCAGCACTTAAAGCTTTGATTGATCGCTTTTCAATCTGCAATTCGAAATCCCGAATTTTCTAATTCAGTTTAACTGTTTCGTAATTTAGAGTTATTGTTACCATGCTCGACGCGTGACTTTCAACTTTGATACGCGTGGGTTGGAAAGTTTTACTAATCACACTGATTCTGAAAATCCTCTTAAAAACCGTTCAAAATTTGAGTTTGTTGGAATTTATTCTTTTATTTTGAAATTGCAAAGTAATCGGTTCACGAATTAAATTTTCGGTTTCTATGAACCGAAAAAATATCACTTCGTAGTTTGCAAGTTAAAACGTCCACCCTATGTGTTATTTTAACAAAGAATGGCGGTTTCAGGACACTACGCTTGACCTGATGGAGCATATCCCAGTAGTTAAGTGGACAGTGGTCATTTTACGCAACAGACCTATCACCCCCAAATAAGTAACCCAAACACAAATCTCACATCTGGCCCCTTCACGGCTCGTAAACTTTACAATCATGAATTGTTGTCGCTGCTAAATCAGATTTTCTATTCAAAAGTGACATTTTCATATTTGTTGCGCGATTTCCTTTCTCTAATATAGTCAATACTTCGATTACCCAACTTTATGAATCCATAACTCCTCAAGCCCCAAAGCGAACAAAAACTTCAAAGTGGCGGCGATTCGAATTAGATTTTAATTGCGGGGATTCAACACAGCTAACCCCTTTCTTATTTTACATTTGACACAATTAAAACGTTCAATTTAAAGCGAGGGGTTGATTTTTTTTGTCATTTTATATTATTCGTTGACATGTTCTTGACATTTGTATTTATTATTGTGAGTATTAGGCACAATGTGTTATAATTAAGGCGACCGTTGGTCCGTTTTAAAATTAGGAACAGTTAATATTGCCTTCGCGTCAAAGGTATTGAGGTTGCACAATTTCTGTTAGTATTTGTTTTAATCAAAAAGTGTGCACGAGTGGTATGCAAACCCAATTTCTGTAAAGCAAACAATGGTGGACGTGCGTTTGCGAAAGAGGGCTTGATCGCGTGTCCAATGGTCAACTAGTCCCTTGGGCCTAATGCTAATCGTATGTATTCTTACGATGGACATTGTAGATAGAGGCTTTCAGTCATTGCTGACCAAATGGAAGTATAATACGAAAAACAATACGGGCTAAGTAAATTTATAAGTGACACAAGTGTCCTTTTGTTGTTTGATACAATCCAGTCGCACCTGTTGGACCATTTAAAAGTAAAAAAAAAAGTATTTTATAGTGTCCTTGATTAGTGCAAGAGTTTCCCTCTGAGATATTTGATGAATAATGTGTCTATTGTTGTTCTTTGTAATACCCTTCAGCTACTATACAGAGTTAGGGTACGTGGATTTTTTGTTTACTATACCGGTTTCAATGAATAAGGTCATTGTCTACTTTTCGGATTTGTGTCGTGTAATTTTATCTTATTGTCAAGGTATTTATCGACCTTAGGATTTCTTACCATACGCATCAGCTGAATTAGTATTTTTATTTATATTGGAAGGATCAACTTTTCACTTAGCATTTATAAAAATTGGACTATTATGAAGTGGCGCTTTTATTTTTACGCGTGACGTCATACTGATTTGACATTAATTTTTTCAAGGGTTCCAAAATTCTTACAAAAACTTCTGTCGCTCAGTTTTAATTAAATATGCAGTGTTCAACATTTTTAGTCTCTAGTACCTTACTTTAATAAACTATTGGTTCTTGATAGGTTTTTGTACAACCGAAACTCACTGAAATTCGTAATTAGTCTATGTTGTGGTATCAGATTTAAGCTATAGATGTTTTGCGACCAACGGCCGATACGTAACACCTAAATATGATATTTGGGGCCCTAATTATGTGTTTATCAAAAGTGTGCTTCTTCAAGTTGATTAAAAGAATGATGAAGCTACATTTTAGAGTTAATATTACCATGATCTTTTGTTGTAATATCAGTGATATTTTTCAAAAGCTTCAACAACAACCTAATCCATCACGACTCTTCATCGATTTGTCATCGTGGAGTCTAAAGATAGCACTCCTATAACGTGTATTAATGGAACACCTGTTAGCTGAAGATCTGAAGGTGACTAGGATGATAGTGGAAATCAATGAGGCTTTACAAAATGCTGCTTTTTAAGCGTTTTATCAAAGCCATGAAGATTTTCAAAATTACAAAATCTGGCAACTTTGAGTTATCAAAGTTACAAATAACCATGTTCTGGTTTGTTTATTTGATTGTAATGTATTTTATTGCTTTATGCATTACTATGTACGTGTATTACCATACTTTGGACCTATTTCTTGCAAAATTGAATTTTAGACACAGTTTTGTAAATTTAAAAGTTTGTGTATGCTTGAGATATATAAGAACTAATTATTATCTATATCTGACTCAGTGTAAATTACATGGGAATACTGTCATTGGTGTATTGATATGTGTAAACACAAATATATCATATTATACTAATTTGATATCATTTAAGTTTGATTTTTCCTTCATAAGCTTTTCTAAATTCAACAAACAAGATGAAACATTCCCTTCAAACGTTAAGTCAGTGGAAAATCGGTATCAAGGTTTCTGGAGGTAGAAAATATTCTGTCATTTTTAACCCCAATTTTATTCTATCGGTCAATTATTTTTGGAGAATATGCGGTCACTTACATATCAATAACTATTGACTGAGTGACTGGTTTTAGTAAGCTTGTTGATACCAATAATGTTTCATAGCGTGTAAATGTGTCACGCTTTTACCATTTTCTTAAATATTTTGAATTACATTTGTGAGTAAATTTGTAAATACCATAAAACAGTACAGTGGAAACATATATATTCATTTCCTGTGATTAAAAACAAGTACTTTTCTAAGATCAGTGTATCCTCATAGAACAGGCCTTGGTCATTTAATTACGTTCTTGTTATATCACAGTCTAGCTTGCTACAAATGTTCAACTATGGACTACTAACGCCAAAAATCTGCAGTTTAGTGGATAAACACGTCAAGACAGTTAAAACGCCTTTTGTACACATTTGTTTTCACGGTTTACTCAATCACTTGCCACTGCGTAACTGTATCGAGCGTATTCGCAAAACCATTTTCACCTGCGCAAGTACTAATTAATCCGGCGTCTGTCCGTCGTAATCCTTCAAAACCTAAAATATCACGTTTACCAATAAATTTATCGACTGCGGCAATTTATGTTGTCATTAATACAGGCGTTCAAATCGCATCTGCTCATTGGTCAACACTCCCAATAATTATTGTAAAGAAACGATTTTATGAATCATGCTAATACCTTTTCGGCAAGCCAGAAATAGAGCACACAAAAGCAATGGTAGCAAAAGATTTGAGTTGTGACGTCAGTGGCGCGTGTTCGGCACACGCTGATCTTCTGTCCATTGTTTCCGTTTTCGAGACATGCACGTGACCATAATGGCCGACTTATATTCTAATGCCTTTTTTCCAGGACGGGATTTAAGATATTCGGTTTGAAATGGAGAGCTGGGACGTCTTTTTCGTCTTCAGAAGAATAAAAGATCATTTGTTTCTTGTTTGACATCTTAACTGTTTTACATACACTTGACAGTACTACGTTTTGACGTTTTTTTTAAGTTTTAGGGTTCTAAGTGAAGATGCTAGTGCGTCCCTGTAGTGCAGAGGGGGCGCCCTTTTCTATTGCTGTTCGTTACTTTGGTTACATATTCAAGATATTAGAAATTTGTTATTTTAATTACGTTATATTGACAGCCTCGGCTAAGCTTTATTTGAAAATGGACGTTGATGGTTGCATCCTTTGATGATAGTGTTTGTTGTTTGGGTGCCGTTGTTTGATTTTGAATAACGAATGTAGTGCGAATTCATTATTGTTTTCTTTGTGGTGTTAGTCCAAACGCCAATTAAATTGGAGTTCAAAGAAGGCTACGACCAACAGCTTGTAATTTTATAGTTGACATTTTTTTGACATTGTTCTGTCTTAACTTGGTGGTATTTAACTACTCTGGAAGCCCATTAGCTGAGTCATCTTTTGACGTTGATAAATTTGTCATAATTTCTAACTAACTGTCAATAAAGAAGACAAAAATAGTCAAATATGTTTTGTTTGTATACATAAATTTGATTTTTTCCCTGTAACAGCATAACTAAATAAACATTGAACTGCAAGGTACCAAACTAAGACAACAAAATCATTATAACATCATATGAGTGTCAAAGTCGAAAATATAAACAGTTTAATTAGTATAAAAAAGCCTCTAATTTGTCATGCAGGTGTAGTTTATCGTTTGCTATTATCTTTACTCGTAAAGATTTCTAGTTCACCATGCACGAGTGAAACTTGTTATTGATTTTTAAAATTGTTTACATTTTTCTGACATTTCAAAACTAACTCCAGCAATTTTTGTAGTTTGGAATATAGTGTTGTCGAAAAATTTCTGGTCAAGTTAGATTTAGTTATACAGTTGTCAGTTGTGATAATTAATATTTATAAATATAAAAATATTCTACAACCTTAATGTAGGTACCTTAAAATTATAATACTGCGTTATGTTATTCGAAATCATTTTTCATATGAAAGTTTGAAAATTTTTATTTGGCGGTGTCAGGTTTGGTAATACCGAAAATAGCTTATGTAAGATGTTTAAAAAAATATATAAACTTAATTTAGGTTAACTTTACCTTGAAGACGATCTCATTTACCGAACACAGTTTCCTTCCATTAAAAATGTATGACGTCATCTTAATATCATTAAATATATTGATAAATACGCCCTCAGATAATACGGTATTAATTGTGCTTTTGAGACCAGAGAGGTTAGAATTTTTGTTAATTTGTCTATAAACTTATGAACAGTTTGTTTATTTTTATGTGAAACACTACACTGGGGAAAGCTAATATGAATCAAAATGTATTTGTTCTAGAAATTTTATCTTTCCAAAAATTCAAAAAATAGTTCACTTGGATAATATTTTTGAATACCCAGTTCTTAGTTTTAAATTCCGAATTACTCTTTGTGTTCTTTTTTTTCAACTATAAGAATTCATCAAAAATAAATCAACCTCAGAAAAACATTTTTATTATAAATTATCCTTTAATAGCTAAGTATTTACAAAAGTATTCAATAATCACAGCCTTTTGAAAATATTTACATATTTATAAGAATATATCTAGTAGTAGTTGTATCTCCACCGTAGCTCAATATTTTCATTCAATTCGTTCTGAGCTCTTTCCTTCTGATAGTTTTGACATACACAGGGTGTGGTATCAAAATCCAAAACGGTAACTTCAGTGGAAATACTTCCTCGTTCATGTGTAGAAATCGAAAACGTTGAGTTATAAAACTTTTTTCTATGGCATCGGTTTTGTATCGTAGTGGACCAATATTTCAACATCTAGAAAAAAAAAAAAAAAACTGTAAGCAACCGCGTAATAAACGCAAAATGAAAATATTTACCTTAAGGCAATTGTGTCCAGTCGAAGTTAAGAACTTTCTAACCGACATCGTTGTTCGCTTGCTATAAACCAAATGAATTAAGAATTGGCGCCGCGATCGTATATATACATTATCTCCCCTCCTACTCATGATTCGCACTTGACTCTCACCCTCGTTCACTCACCCTCAAATTATATAACCAGCAATGAAGTTATTATTCCCACACTCAGAATTATTTACAACAGAGGATTGAAAGTTTATGAAGATCAACCCCTAATTTCACACAGTGTTATAGCAGTCCCAATTCCCAACAGTCGCTTTAATATTTTTTAATTCGGACATAATTCTTCGCTAAGTGAGCAGACAAAAAACCCTGAGAATATCCATTTGACGCATTGAATTTTGCATTTACAGAAGCCATTGTGTTTTTACGTCAGAGGGAGTGGAATTAAAAAGGCGTTAATTTGCGATAATATTCATGAATTGCGGAACTTTTCCAAACAAGTGCAAATTGATATGTATATAACAGCCAAAATTTATGTAATAGCCAGCGTGGTGTCACAATTTTTAGTAAAAAAAATCAGAAATTTGTATATTTGGTGTACTGAACAAAGAAAAATTCAAAATTTTCAAAGTTTGTCTATAAGAGACCAGTGTGCAATAATACACAGTGCCACACTAGTGTATGTTATACATATTTGTTTTGCATAGCTACGCATGACACTAAATTTAATTCATGCAATAACGAAGTTTTGTAAAAATTGCAAACTCACCATTTCTTGTTGCAATTTAGTTAACAGTAAACATAAATCCACCCAAAATTGACACAGTATTGTACAACGTAATGATTCGTGATTAATATTGACTCGTTAAATGGCCACATGTTCTCTGAATCACAAAATGATGAAGTTCCGAAACGCGTGTGATTGTCAGCTATACGTTTTATTTGCGAAATCAATCAACACATATAGAAATAATGCAAATGTCAACTTTTTGGTGATCGTTCGTGCGTTAAACGGGAAATAGTTAATTGAACATGTATTGACAAGATAAATTTACATAAATTGAGTGGAAGTAATTCGTTACTATTAATTATAAGAATAAAGAAAATATTATGTGGGAGTTTAGAAAAAATTTGCACGAACATTTTTGTCAATTTAGCGAGTTTAGGATAATTGGTAACTGACAAACACATATGTTATTGTTTTGTGCTATTTAATACGTTTCATTTGTATGTACTTAATGTATTTAAATCCTATTTACTGGTGAGTACTATATTTGAAGTTCGTGTGTAGTAGAAATGTTGTAAATTGTCTAATAAAATTTTACAAAAGGTTAAAGACTTGAAAATATAAACTTCACATACACTTGTCCTTTCTATTGTATCCATTAGACTTCCTCATTTAAATTTAAAACGTTCCTAATGTGTATTTTGTAGTATTTAAAATCTAATCTTCCTGTAGAGTAGAGAGTAAAAGAGAGGTGCTATTTATGACACTGCTGAAAACAGATCTGACGATTATGACCCTTATTATTGGGAAATACACACCTTCAAGGTTAAGTGAATGCAAATACATCACTGCTGAGGCGGGCTGATATTTAAAAGCAGGTGCGAACATTTGATAAGCCATTCTCTAGTAGACTTTATATACGATAAGGATATTATTTTTATTAATTACCAATTTTCTTTTAAGAAAGAAAGAGAAAACACCTGCAACTAATTTTTATAACATAATGAAGGGTAATTTGCGTTCAGACCTCGAAATGTCGTTTAGTTTTTATTGTTTTATATTACTAGGGGGGGGGGGTCCAATTTTTCCTTAACAATATCTCACTTATTAGTGAAGGTAACCCTATGCTGTAAAGTCCAAATTTAATGCCCGTTAATGTAATGTGATCGTGTTGTGTGACAGTAACGTAAAACCAAGTTTAATGACAAGTTGTATAGATGGGATCAATCAACCACATATTTTCTACTTTTTCGTAAGTTCAGTGTCGCCAAGATAGCTGATTTACAAATGTAGATTTAATCATGATTTTTATTTGCGTACCCCAACAAAGTGTTCTCATATTGCATTTAAAAATTTTCAACTTGATGTAAAAATATTGCAAACAGTAACTATAATGTAACTGTATGGGTAATCAATTATATTTATTTGATAACTGATTGTGCTAACTCTGATCGACTGTAAGATACATTCTGCGACAGATACATCTATTTATATACATCATAGTTGTCGTATTTTATGTACTACTTACTTGCTTCAAATAATTAAATAAACAACTAATAAGTAGAGTCAACAACGTCATAAAACGATCTAACTGCGCTAAATAAGAATATGTATTGAATAAACATCTAAATTGTAACAAATAACAATTTTCAGTAAATTATTCTAATCAACTAACTACATTAAATTTGTATCAATCACATCGTAGAAGAAATATTTTCCATTATTAAGCTGTTAAATAATCATTGTAACTATGGGGGCGTTAATATATATGTGTATAACGATGAAATTACTAACATTTCTACAAAGTTTTGAGTAAATTTGACCCAAAATGTCAACCCATATACCCAAGAGTTGGCATAGTCAAAACAACTAAAATTAGAAAATCTAGTTCACGATCTTTCCTTCGTAGATTAATAAAGTGAAACAGTTGCATACTGGGTGTCTGAAAATATGTATAAATCTACTTACATTTATAGATCAACTACTGTATGACTTGAGTTACCGAAATGACATTTGAAAAGGTTGACATTATTGACCTCTAACTTTTGAAAGAAAAATATATTGAATAATTAGGTGCGTATCGGTATCAGAATTTCTTCAAAAATTTTATTTTCAAGCAAATGTAGATAAAAAATATTCAGCAGGTGTATTTTTATTGTGATATACCGATGTTTGATACATGAGTAAACTTATGCGGGCTAATGGGGGGAAAGGTAGCACCTTTTCCCACTGAGACAGAAGTGTATTTAGACAAGAATAGACTGCGGAACTAGTCCGGAATAAGCTCCCATTATCATGCACACGCCCTGACCCTACATTCCACAACATTTAAAGTAATGTAAAAGAAATGGAAAAACGCATTTAATAATAATAATAATAAATGTGATTGTCGGGTATCTAGATTTTCTGTAGCCAACGCGATCGCACGAACACCAACAATTATTATTATTATTATCATTTTCATCGACCACTACATATTTGGATTCTCCTATTAGCGCGCACAAAGCAATCCCCTTTTTGCTTTAATCGCTTCGTCTTTGAAAATGAGGGAGTTTAACTGTTTAACTTCCCTATTGTAAGTGCTTCGTGATGCCGCAAGTGTAGCGCAGTATATGCGCACTGTAGGCTGTGGAGAATGGCGTGTGCAAGCGTAGTCAGCCGGACGCTGTTCGGTGTGCGTATGAGAGTCGGCTTCCCAACTATTTCCCACGTTCCGCCACCCTAACCGAGTCATGTCATTACAACCCCATACCCTGCACGGACGTGAGCGCTACTATTTGCATTTCAGTTTTTATCACACATTTTAATAATAACACCGCCGTCAGACTAATTCGCTAGAGGTACTTCCTCTAGATCCACCCACGGAAATAGGCATCAACAAAGTATATACACATTCAAAAAAAGTGTGCGGTAAAAACAGTAAAATAGCATAAGGAAGAAAAAAAGCAAATATTGTGTCTAATATATCACTTCTTGAATTTAACAGTGATATGCGACGTCGTAGGAGTAGGATCACTGGAACTTGTCCACTAGTCTCCTAGTACCACAACGTAGAGTGACTCTATTGGCTCATTGTCATAAAAAACTTGAGGCCTGCATATTATATGTCCCTGGGTTAACCAATATTGTTTTTAAAAAACATGTCGTTTACGAATTTTCCGGTTTTTGTAAAATGGTTACCGCTTTAGAAGGGTAAAACCGTAAGTGCGAATCTATGTTAAAGCATTATACTTTCGAGAATAATTAGTCTAGAACTGTGCCTGCCCACCAAGTGTGTAAGTGCAAGTGCAGGAATTAGTAATAGATTACCGCGTCGAAATAGTCCGACGCGTTTCCTTTAACCTCCCTTTGTGGAGAACACGTGCATATTGTTACATATTCATATAAATAACCGTTGTACACCGTTTGTATTTTGTGTGAATTTGAAAAGCCTATACATAATACACACATTTTTATAGAGAAAACGAAAATAATTGTAGGGAAGTTCATTGTTATTTGAGATTTGCTTCACGCCTGAAGAGTTCGCAATGTTTCCAAAACAGGTTTATGATCCGCAAATAGGGTTGCATTTTACTCTTTTGAAAGATTGTCTCATTTGCGAGGTCCTGTTCCGAAATTTAAATACATACATTTTGTTCCAGTTTTACTAGTTTATAATGCGTTGCAAAACACACAAAGCGTCTTTACGAGGAAGGGGTTGAACCAACTTTTTTATTTTTTCTGCTATCTGCACATTCATCCGGCCCTTGTCCATATCACGTAGCATGTCATTCACCTCATTGAGCCTTTGACACACTAGAAAAATAGAAATAGACATTTCTTGCAACACGAAAAGTTTGTGCAGGGTGCGCGAGAGAGATAGATATAGTAAGGAGTTGAAAAACGAAATTGTACAAAAAATTTATTGCTAAAAAGAACATCACAACAAATTTCACATCTTAGACATACGACGTGAGATCATAAAATGTACAAAAATAGCCACTCTGGCAAAAGTCTATAAAAATATTTCTATATGGGAATGTTTAGATCGTACAGTAGAAAAATAAATAAAAATTCGTTGAATAGGTACAAAATGACTAAAACCTCCACTCCCGTGCAAAGCAAACTTTGTACTCGAATGGCAAGCAAAGTGAAATCACTTATCACTATAGGCACTGGAGGCGGCACTTAATTTAAGACACACTATTTAGTAGGCAAGTTCAGCACCCCACGGTCGAAACTGCTTCACTCCCTGCGACGTGGGAATGTTGCTCTGATTGTAATTCTGGTGGTGACTCGTCGTCGGAATACTGAAGGTGTTGACGGGATATTGGTGCGGACTATAGGCTAACGCGGACGAGGTAGTTGTGGTGAGCGGCGTCAGAATCGACGTCGTGGGGGCGAGCCGGCTGTCGGTCGAAGGGGCGGGGGCGGACGTCTGCGGGCAAGACGTTGCGACGTCGAAGTGGCCCAACTCGTGATGCATGTTCTGGTGGTGCAAGGGCGGCGGCGGCGGCTGGTGGGGGTTCAGATTGGCGATGGGGCCGTGATTGGGCACCGGGGATGGAGGAAGTGTGTTCAGCGGAGGGTACGGTTGGGTGGAGCCGTAACCCCACGGCGTCGACGTTGCTTGTTTTGTAGCCAATTCACGCTGGGCTGCACAACATTGAAGGTGTGAAGTCAAACGGAGCCGTAACGGATTTTGGACGTCTAGGCCCTCAATCCGCTCCAAATATCGCGCTACTTCGGCCACGCATTCCCGGAAGCCCATGCCGTGGTAGTCCATCGCGTATTTGTGGGGGTCGTAGGCGAAGGCGTCCAGACCTGAAAACCAAGCGTCCTACTTAGCGAAGGGTGCGTTCAAGAGGTTCCAGTAAACAAAAATAAACCTGTTGCAGTTATCTGTCATCAGCGGCTCACTTATTCCCACGGGTCTTTACCAGTGGCGCTCCAGCTGGCCTACCGCATGTTCCCACGCCGCGGTCAACCCTTCATTCACCTGCTAGGTGGTGCGGCTCTACGCTTTACTATTAACTCTAAACCCACACCTATTGAATTATGAATGAGAACTAATACCTTCCCTTTCGTTTTTCATGATTTTTATCGATATTAAAAGGATAAAATCTCGGCTGTGATTCACGGTGATCATATCGCACGCATTTGCATTTTCTCTCTTTTGCAACGATTTTCTCACGAAAACACGTCACTCATTGTTTGGAATTAGTGCAACGTGCCATGAAATATTGTTACGTTGCCAAGAAATTGTGCCATTTTAAATAAATAACTTACCTTTAGCGTGGATCATTTTCAGATGGTCCACCGTCATTTGAAGGATTTCCGCTTTCTCCAGTTTCGCCGACCCTTGTTTTTCGAAAGCGCTAGGGACAAGACGTTTTAGTTCAGACAGAGACATATTTATGCGATCTCGTCTTTTCTTCTCTATCACACCCCTTCGCTTCTTCCGCGATAACATTTGGCAACTGTCCGCATCACCAGGAGATGTGCATCTGAAAAACGTAACAATTATTCTCACTTAGCTACATCAAGGACTGTAACTGGAGTCCCACAGCGATCAAACTTGGACCCTCCGTTGTTCCCGCATTATTAGTATTATTTTAAATTTTATATACCGGAAATAAACCATACCCGTACGTCTTAATTAAGATCTAATTTTACACATCTTTTCGAATTATGTTAATAACATTTTTATTATTATTGGTGGCTAAATGTTATACCGTGACAACCCTTTTTTTGGGTATTGAAACGTAAAACGAAATTCTCCACGGCAAAAATTTCTAGTTACTGGCATTAACTACCCTCACTTACTGTTCTTTGGAAGATTCCTCCGAGAAGACATCATCACAGTCATCACTCTCCGACAGGGGCCTCTTGACCGCCCTGGCCATGGGCGCCCACGAAGTATTGGGGTTGTTGGGCGAGTAGCCCCAGTGCAGCGGCGTGTTTTGAGGTAACGTGTGATCCATAATTGCTCCTCAGCACTATCACCACCTTATCCGAAGTAGACACTTGTAGCTAAGACAGTTGCGGAAGCGGACGCGTGTCGGACGTCTGTCAAACCATATTCGCGCGTGTACAACCCGCCGTCAAATGTGTCTTGCCCTGTTGATCTGACGGCTGCCCTAGCGACGTTCGGCCACGTTTTCGCCCCACTCCTATCCCCACCAGAGGCACCAGCCACACGCGACTGCTACCCTCTTCATCGGAAGTACGAGGCACCCCCATGTTGTGTCCTTGTTTAAGGATCCATTCTGGTTCGAAAGATTGGATGGGTATTGCAAATGACGAGTGTAGTAGCGATTGATGGCAGGGAGGTTCGATTAAGAATTGAGATTGCTGGGACGTTGATTATGAATCGATGTGATTGGGATGGTTTTCATTAATATTACGGTTCCGGGTGCTGACAAATAGGGTGTTTGAATGATGTGTTTTTATAAACGAGAATTTACTGTCGTTTTTGAATGAAAAAACTGTATGCAACAAGCTTGCCAAAAACTGACGATGTTTTGATAAAACTAAAATTGTTAGTTCCTAGGACTCGTTGGTCACATATTTTTTTGTTACTCATTTTATTAACTCGTAGGAAACATCACTAATAATAATAATACCAACACGTGAAATTTGACAGCCACATAATTTTCAGATATACCCCGAAAGGTACCCGAAAGTGTGAGAGTCTGTAATAAGTAATTCTATTTTTTGAACGAACTATACAAAATGGCGACTTCTTACAGAATACAACTTTGGAACCATCGACAGTATACGTTGTTAATAGATTATGTAACAGAATGCGTTTTGATGACACATAATAATTTAATGCTATTTTGTTTTTGAAGTATATAACTTTAAATAATAATAAAATTGACGTTTTTAAGAATCTGTTCATATAGAGTTTAGAATTGTATTAATACTGATCACTTATTAAATAAATCTCGATATTTTTAACTTTATGCATATGCATCTAATAAATGACATTAACATTGACATAATACTAATCATGAATTTTTGTGTGCATCCACTGTGGAAAGTTGATTATGTCATATCAAAATGATACTAAATAAATCTTTATTGAACACCATCCCAAAGGGACATGAGTCATTTTGATGACCGTCTAATTTCGTGCTTTTTGTTTTGAGTTGGCGTTTTTATTAGACAAAACTGACGAACTTTCGTATATACAAGGAACTGGACTAAACAGATTAAAATTTCCTTTCCATAAAGCTTATAAAATTTGTGACCTAAAATACTCATTTTGTTTACGTTGAAAATTAAATTGCTTTTTCGTCTGTTTGTCCGTCCGTCTGTCTGCCGTTCCGGATTTTTATTAGACAGATAATCTCCGAAAGTACTGGGCCGATTGTAGTCAAATTTTGTACTTATATTAGCAATATCATGTACATGGTAAAACGCTGACCAAAATTTGTCTAATCATCCCCTCCAATGATGTGATGACGTCACTTCAGAATTGTACATAGTAAATGGGTTTTAAATTGTATAAAATAACATAGTCCTACACATGCAGTTTATGACTCCGTGCCGAATTTTTACCCAAAGCGTCCAAATTTTTGGAAAAAAATCAAAACAACATTTTGCAATTTAAAAGTTAGCACGTTTTATTTTTCGAAAGAGCTGGATTTGGCAAGCGAGGGAAGTTCTGTCGAAGTAATCTATTTTTTCACCCCTGTACACAAAAGCGGCTCGCTAAAGACGTTTTCAAAAGAAACATCACTTTCTTTTATTAGAGCTGTAAACGCATTTTTTAGACAGGTCAATAAAATTTTATTAGGGTTGTACCGTTTAAGTAAAAAATATAAGTAAGAACATGGGGTGTAAAACTGTATTCTCGGATGGCACCACGCCACCTAAAATGTGTAAACAACATAATGTAACTAATTTTAGTATTTCGAAAAAACGGTGATAACACTATGCAACACTAAAAAATTCACAGAAAGTTCAGATAGTGTTTGAGGTTGGGTATACTCCATATACTAAAGAAAAAAATGTTTTATACTCATATCACATCACAAAACATAGATAACGGGTGGTTTGTTTTTCTTACTTTTTGGGACACTTGATTGCATTTAATCGTAAAAATATCGCTTTTATGTATCCACTCATGCTTGCAGACTTCTGTTGGTGTCTTCAGAGGGATACTGCGAGAACTGGCTACAATAGGAATGCCAATCGTTCGAAAAAAAAGACCTTTTTCAATGAAAAATGAAGTATTGTTTTATTAATTTTGTATGATTTCAAAAAATTGAATAAACACTTTTCATTGTGATACCTGATGTGATAGGTTGGGTACCTATACTCCATATAATAAAGAAAAAAATGTTTTATACTCATATCACATTACAAAACATAGATAACGGGTGTTTTGTTTTTCTTACTTTTTGGGACACTTGATTGCATTTAATCGTAAAAATATCGCTTTTATGTATCCACCCATGCTTGCAGACTTCTGTTGGTGTCTTCAGAGGGATACTGCGAGATCTGGCTACAATAAGAATGCCAATCGTTCGAAAAAAAAGACCTTTTTCAATGAAAAATGAAGTTTTGTTTTATTAATTTTGTATGATTTCAAAAAATTCAATAAACACTTTTCACTTTGAAACCTGATGTGATACGATTCTTTCAAGCATAATCCTCAATTGAGTTTGAGGTAAGAAATTTTAACTACATACTGTGCATTCTGTGAATTTAATTTTTTTTTAATTTGTTGCATAGTGTAATCTCTCTGGAATAATATTGTGTGTGTATCCTCTGACAGGTTTCAGATTAAATTTAGTCCTACCGCTGCAGCGGAAAAAGGAAACCGTCCCACCGTTTCTCTGTTACCTGAAAGGGTGACTTTCGTTTATTCTCTCTTTCATTTAGAGACCACCTTGCAGATGCTGCACAATTACCAAAAATAAGTACCGTATGTTATTTGATACCAACATACTCTTAAAAAATGAAATATAAAGCACTAACGGTAACCTCAGTATAGGCACGGTTTACAAGAGATCCTGTTAGGTGATCATTGTTCGAAAGTAACAGTACCAAAACACCCTCTGAATATTGCAGACGCTTCCGCGATCACAAAAAAATTGTAAAATTGGCGCAAAATTCAAAATCGACCCGAATGGTCATTCGGATAAGGCGAATCATGTTGACTCTGTGATATAAATGTGATTAACAATAAGGTGGGGTGGCCCTGTAAAGAGGGTAGAGTAGCACTAGTCTATCGTGGGAAATGCTGTTTTCTGGTCGTCACACCGCCGCCACGCGACTGGCAAAAGTATATTGTGCATCGCGTTACCAAGGGAAACTATACACAATGCAATTGCCAAAGAAAACAACATTACCATAATTAATTTTCTCCTACAAGTGCAGTTTATAAACGGGCCAAATTTTTCATTTACAAAAACACAAAAATTGGCGAGAATTTACGGTTCCAGTTGAGTTGATTATTATCAAATCACTAGGACAAGCAGTCAATGCAAGTGTGTCAGTAACAGTTTGCAAAATGACAAAAGTGTCATGTCATCTAACTTTAATTACAGCATTTAAAAAATTGAAGTCAGTTTCATTTCAAAGTTACCCCTTTTCTGTCTGGTGTGTGAAACGGCTACATATAAAATGAAAAAAACTTTTGCCGCTTCTTCAGAGATTGTAATCCAATTATAAAATTGACAGTGTACGGCGCCACTTGTAGTAGGCGTCACTTTCAAGGTAAGCGGAAAACTGAAAAACAGGGAATCTCCAGAGGTGTCTATCGTTTGTTGATAATTGTAATTGTTTAACGTGTAGTGATGTAGTGGGAGATTATATTTGACGTTGTTCCACATGGTGGTTAACCTTAAATGTATTTTGAGGACCTACGCGGTCCACGGTGCGCAATAATGTGTTAAGCTAAATTAACTTATTTTAGGTGTAATCGGAACTTGTCGTGGACTCCCGACGTCGTTTTTGGATCTAAATAAAACTCGTATACGTTTCTCTTGCTTATCGCATGGTGAAAATACCCCTCTAAATCGTACGTTTCAAGCAAAAGTTTTTATGGTGGTGTTGTATTTATTTTAAGTAATAAACCCGACCGAAAATGTCGGGAGACGTTCAGCCAAGGAAACGTAAAGATAAAAAAAGAAAAAAAGGTAAGACAGATTGAATGTGTATTTTTAGATTCTCTATTCTAAATACGCTAAATTTCTATTTTTAATTATAAAGAATGCACATGTACTAACTAATTAGTTTGCATGCTTTTTAACACTTGTAATTTGAGCATTACGTGTAATCAGTGTTGTTTGTAGATGACACTGCGGAACAGATCCCTACTCAACCACAAACACCTTCTTCTTCTTCCAGTAATCAAAACGAAGACATAACTATCCATGTTCACAAAGAAGATGGAACAGGTGGTGGAATATGTGCTAAAATCATATTCTTTATATTATTCACTGCTTTGGCAGTTCTCATTGGTTTAATTATAACAGAACATCGAGGTTTAACAGACTGTAAGTAGAACTGGTGACTTTTGACAGACAATAACGCCACTCGTTTTGCAGTAGATACAGCAGATCAAGAATCTCGTTTTTCACATTTATTTGAAGGCTGGATAGATAATAGTGTAGGACATGATGAACACGATGAAGGTGATCACGTGGTGAGTTCTTTAGAGGACGAAGATCATGGAGAAGATGAAGAAGGCGATTCACACGAAGCCTACGAAGAGGAGGAGGAGGAAGAAGATCACGATGAGCACGAAGAAGAGGCTTCAGAAGAAGTAGCACAGACGGAGGAGGAAGAAGACGAGGAAGAGGAAGAAGAAGCAGAAGCGTCTGAAGAAGTAGCACAGACGGAGGAGGACGAAGATGAGGAAGAAGCAGAAGCGTCTGAAGAAGTTCCTGCTACCGAGGAGGAAGAAGAAGAAGAAGAGGAGGACGAAAGCGAACTAAAAGACGCCGACGAGGATGAAGAGGTATCAGAAGAAAATGTAGAGGAAGATGAAGAAGACAAAGAAGAGGAAGAGGAAGAAGACGCAGTTTCTAAAGACGTTGAGCAAAGTGTAGAGGAGCAAGATGAAGATGAAGCAGATGAACCAGATGAAGAAGACGAAGGTGACGAGGAGGCCGTTGCTTCCAAGGAAGCTGCGTCTGAGGAAGAAGATGCACCAGAACAGTCAGAAGAAAAAGGTAGTGAGGAGCTTAAAGAGGACGAACAAGCAAGCCAAGAGCAAGAGGTAATAAAAACAAATTGTGTTAAATGTTGTTATAACAGGCGAATTTTAGGAAGATGAAGTTGACGTAAAAGAGGAAGGAGGCGAAGATGCCGAAGACGAAAACCAACAGAACACTAACAGTAAGTATTCATTCACTAGTACAACAATCAAATATTGGTTCCTCAATAAAAAATGTCTAATTTGTTGGTTCTTTTCCACAAATGTAAATCAGGAAATGCAAATAATGTATTTATGCAAACTACTGTATGTTACAGTGGTTGTAAAGATTGGCGTCGGCGTGGCTCTTTTGGTAGTAGCACACGTCGTTCTCGTTAGAAAGTGGAAGTCTGGTCAGTAAATGCATGCTCTAAGTGTTACCTTCCTGTTCAAAATTTTTGTATGTTGTATATGCCTTTTGCTTTTTTTCATCTTTGCACTAACCGTATTGCATTTCCTGGTATTAATTTTGTTAATTGTATGCCGTCGTACACTTGTCAACAGTTGCTTCTAATAAGATACACGTTGCGAATAATTCACTGCAACAGCAAGCAAACGCTTAAATTTATGCGCCATATTTTAACGTTCTGAAATTTTTATGAAGCTACTCCGCCTTCTGAAACTCCCGCACAAGACGAAGCGGCTCCTGATCTTTCTAGAAGAAATACAATTGTAGTCCCACCGACTTATCAAGAAGTGCAACGCGATATCGAAGAAGCAGAAGAAGGTATTTTTAGCAAAACTTTATGTTTCTTATTTGTACCAAAAGGAAAGTCAAAATAATAACGTTACATTTAAATCAGAATATTCTGACGAGGATGGAGAAGTAGAAAGCGACGAAGACAGGCGCGAAGTGAAACCGACTAAACTAAAATACGGAGAACTGAGAACAACTTACGCCAGATCTTTAACACCGGAAAGTGAACCGGAATACCAGACTAAACCAGCAGAAGCAGATGATGAAGAATATGAAGAAGAAGAGGAAGAGGAAGTTGAGGACGAAGAAGAAGAAGAGGAAGAGGAGGAAGACGAAGAGTCAGAAACTGGCGAATATGAAAAGGAAGATGACGATGATGACTTATTAAAAAGACTTGAAGCAAGATACGGGAAACTGCAAAGGGGCAGTCGAGAAGCTCAAAACGAAAAAGATTTAGAGGAACAGTTTTCGTCATGGAAACGTAATAGTCTCATTTATAATAATTTTTACACTTTGATTTGAAGTTTGAATTCAGAAAGAACCAACAAGTTTGCCTTAAATACGTTTTTTTCGTTGATTTTTTATTTTTGTTCGTTGTTTAACGGTTTTGTTTTATGTTTATGTTGGTGATCTTATAGGTATCAATGTCGGTGGCGATAACGAACCAGAAGAATCTGAGTCTGATAAGCAATCTGACGCCGAAACAGACGAATATGAAAATATAACAAACAAAGATGATTACAAAATAAAAGAAAAACTAGATGAGGCTCATAAAAACATTCAAAATGTAAGTTTTTAAATTCCGGAAGAACTATATATTGTTTATATTTTCTCTAGGAGTGATTTATGGGAAATTCCATTTATATTTTTCCTAGCTATTATTATGTTTTTGACTGTTTTAATTTTTGTAGATTTGTGTGTAATTAAAATTTAAGCAGCCAATCGCCTATTTGGAGTGTTGAATAAAAATTAAAGTGTTGTTTGTTTTTAATGAGAATTAAAAGTATTTTGGTACAATGCATCAACTTATCAACAATTTTTGTGTAATTCCGCACTAATTTCGACCACTTCACTAAAATTGTTGATAAATTATATATGACTGCGTTGATGTTGTTACATTTACAATTTAATATTTATTAACTTTACTAACGGTTTGCTTTTGTCTTTTTTCCTAATACTAGAATACGGCTTACGCAATTAAGCTTTTTGATGCCCTTCTCCAAAACTATTCCTCTTCACCCAGAAGTCTGTATGGAAAAGCTCAAGCTCTAGACATATTGGCCGACAAAAAAAGAAGTAACGACATACTACAAAAGGCCATCGCCATCTATTTGCGAATTTTAACACTTGAAAAAGTCCCAGATGCATTGTTTGAAACTGTAGCTGATCGATGCATCAATCGTATGAGATTCATGGGTATGTATACCGAGTATCACAGTTCCCACAAATTTAGATTCATCGTACGTTCCAGGAAATTACAGAAGTGCCATTGATGTCCATCATAAGTTAATTGAGCGTTTTCCAGAAGAAACAAAATACAAAAATCAATTAGTTGTTAGTTATTTAATAATCAACAGGTACGTTTTCTTCTCTTTAATATATTGATCGTTAAAGTGGACTTTGTCATAGGGTGAATAAAGCCAGGATACTTTTGGAAGAAACTTTATCAAAGCATCCTAATGATGGTTTCGCGCTCGTTCATTACGGTTTTATTCTCAAAACCATTGATAATAAACTCAATGAGTCCGTGTCATACTTACAAAAAGGGATCTCCACAAAGGCACCTGGAGTGATCGACGGCCGTTTTTACTTCCATTTAGGAGATGCATTAGCTCGTCTTGGAAAAACTAAAGAAGCGATGGAGGTACATATTACTTTACACTCTTTCCCAATCTCTTTATTCCACTGAGTGCCACATGAAGAAATTTCCAGGTTTACGAAGACGGAGTTAAACATAACCTCTTCTTATCAAAGTATCAGCGTTCACTGTACAACGTAGCCCACCTTAAAGGACAACCGTGGTGGAAAAAAGAGGAAACTCCGTATGCCGAATTATACACCGCGTTGGAAAACAATTGGCAGAAAATCCGCGAAGAAGGTATTTCCGTTTTAAATAAAAACGGTCTCTTTCAAAGCGAATCAGAAAATCTAAAAGATACAGGCGATTGGAAACAATTCGAGTTGTTCGCTAGAGGACAGAAAAATGTAAATAATTGTAAAAAATGCCCCATTACGTGTAGAATTATCGAAAGTGTACCAGATGCTAGAGGTTGTAGACGGGGTCAGACCAAATTTAGTGTGATGCATCCAGGAACACACGTGTGGCCTCATTGTGGACCAACTAATTGTAGGTTGCGGGTACATTTGGGACTTAAAGTGCCTCCGCAAACGTACATTCGGGTTGCCGACGAAGTGAGGTAATTGGAGGCGGAGTTTCCAATAGCACGTGACTTATCAGCGCCTGCTATTGGTCGTCGAAGCACTGGTTAATGTAACACTGTTTCAGAAGCTGGAAAAACGGTGAAGTCTTCATTTTCGATGACAGTTTCGAGCACGAAGTATGGCATAACGGAACATCGTTCAGACTAGTACTTATTGTAGATGTGTGGCACCCGGAATTAAAGTCAGTAGACAAGAGAAGTCTCTCTCCAATCTGACGTATTTTAAAGTTTTGTAAAAAAATAAATAAGGTTACAAAAACAAATTGTTTACTTTTAATTTTAATCGACTTCACTCCAACAGCACAGGTAACAGTAGATAGTAACATAAATATCACTCTGATTTTAAAAAAGGGGAATAAGCATGCACTTCTGTATCATATGTCGTGTTCATTCATCTCAGAACTAAATGTACCTATATATACAAGACAAAGGCGATCGAATTTTTTCATTATGTTAACAAAACAAATAACAACTACCCGTAACACAAAATAATAATTATGCTAAATGCAATTAATTACGTGAAAATACTTAACATTGCTTAATTATGATTATTGTTTAAAAAGGTCTATATGCTGAGGGAAATTTTGAGGGTAAATTTCTCAGAATGTGAGACGCCAAATATTCCCAGTCGTTCAATTTGCAAAGTTCTATTATCTTTTCTTCTAAATCCTTGCTAGGTCTTTCATCTTGAAGTCTGACTGCGTACTTCAACAATCTACCTAATTGTTGATGCACTCGCGCATGCCACAGCAAGAAGTATATGACGTAAGTCGTCACCACCTAAATCAAAGTTAATAGTACTATTAGCACTTGCGAATTAAATTATACCTTTGAATCACTTGGGTCAACAAATCGTACTAAACTTTTCCAAATCTTGGAAACGGACTCTAATATATCACTTTTTTCGTTATCTTCAGCGAAATATTGTCTACACAAAGCGATTCCTTTTCGACACAAGCATTCTAAATAAACGTTCTTCTTTTGATCCATGGATCTAAAACAACGGTTGAGCTAAAAAAAGACTACATTTTCAGAACTAACGTTTTGATTTTGGATGCTTCAGGTCGTAAATCCGTCTTCATAGCGGTGAATGCGAGAATACTATCTTCGCTAATATTGTCTAAAGCTTTTTCGCATATTGTGATTATTTTACTCTGCGCATCTTTATTAATTTGGTAATTTTTGGATGTCAGCGTCGGGAAAGCTCTCTTAACGTCCAAAGGGTCCAATACTTGCAAGAACGCGGTGTGGAAAGGTAGATGATCGGGGTAGTCGCTAACAAATTCTTCGTACATCTTCTCCGCAGTAGTAGCGTCTGAAATTGTCGAAAACACATATACATAGGTATACAAATATGAAAGTCGTAAAATACCCATTTTGCTCAAAAACTGAGTCTTGATATCTCTTACTGCTTCTTTACATTCGTCTAATTTAGACTTGTCTGAATTACTACTCGCTCCATTTGAAGACTTCTTCGACGAGCTATCAAACAAGATATATTTGAAGGGGTGGGAATCCACTTTCTTGCCCAAGTCATCTTTACAATATGTAATATATCCGGTCAATAGATGAGCAGGATTATTTGATTTAGCTACAAATCTACACAAAATGTGAATTTAAACTATAACGATAGCAAAAACATACTTATCGGTAGGTAACGGAGCGATATAAAAAGGCATTACTGTGGAGTGTAATCCATGAGATACGTTAGACTTTTTACCAGCTATTGCTGCCTGAGAATAACTACTATAAACGTCCAAAGTAATTGTGGTACTTAGTTTTTGTTGTAAAAGAAGAGGTACTTCAGTTAGTTTGTCGAGGTGCTCTTTTTTCTCGTGTCTAACATGCAGCCTGACCACGTAATCTCCTTTTTCCAGTTTTATGGAATACTGAAAAATCAACGAACATTTTTTTGTTTCATTCTTGTTGACAGATTGCTCACCTTTGAAGGATACGCATCGCCACAACCTAGAAGTTGTTTGTTTGAATCGAACAACAACCATAGCTGCGATTCAAATTCTGACTCGTACAAAACATCACTCAAGAGCGCTATGTTTGGAGACACCTCAGTCGCTTTAGTTATTGAAAAGTTATAAACTAAAAGCAGTTCGTAGATTTGACGATTCGGAGGTATGACATCTCTTGTGGTGAGAGGCGACACTTTCCCTTCACTAGGTCTACAAATATTTAATTAACATTCATTAAAAAATTTCAAACAGTTTCGATTTTACTTCAAAATTTGGACGGAATTTTTCAAAGTTACCGATGGTAGGATTTCTTCTCCTTGCAGCGACGTAACTTCGACTGAATGTATACCATCTGCTGCGTGCATGGTGATCCCTTGTTGGTTCGCCTTAACTCCATAGAACGATATGGAATAGTCTAAGTTCATCTCACCTAAATTCGCCCAATATTTGGCAATGACAATCTCTAAGACTGTGTTACTTCGGACTTGAAAACTAATTATCGAGTCGGCATTTGCATTAACGGTAACCGCTTTGTTGGATTCTAAGGTTTTGCAGCTTTGCTTCGGCAACAAGTGCATGGAATGGACCACAAACCGTCCCACACCTTTTGGGTCTGTAGAAGACATGCGCAGAACAGCCCAAGTAGCAAAATGTGGTACTACGTAAAAGTGTCTTTTGATTGTGTTCGGTTTAAAAAGTATAGAGTTATATGAAACTGTATGTTTTGGAGAAGTCAGTTCCATCGGTTGTACTACAGTAATCGGTATCTTAAAAACAGGTCCTTTGGTAATGCAAGTTACGTCAAATGCTTGAATAAACGTACTGTGAACGCCAACAGGTAACTCCGTCGGATCTACTTTGATAGCGAACACTCGGCTTGCATTTGATACGTCCAAGTGCGTTGGACAACTAACATACGAAGCATTACAAACTAGAGCTAGTTTCATGTTGAACTTTATCTTAATTTCAGCGTCTACGTTATCAGCGTCTAGAAAATTCGGCTCCACCGAGATGTTATAAGAAGAACACGTGTTAGTCGGTTTTGATCTCAAGTAAATCCCTTTAGAATTCGACGAGCCGCAACTAATATGAAAACGAATGTTACTTTCTTGTACATTGTGGTTATCTACTAAGAAATCGAAGCATTTATCTACTTGAAGTAACCCACTTCCTTGAGCAAATACTTCAACGCCTGGCAATAAACAAGCTGTATTTTCTATTGCCCGTTTAACACTATATGGCGAATACGGTAAATTTTGCTGGATAAGCCCTGACAATACTACACTGACAGCACCGGCGACGTGCGGTGATGCCATTGAAGTACCGTTCATCAGTTGAGAGAAGCGGAGGGTGCAATTAGGAACTGAAGTCACAGCGCCACCTGGTGCGCAAATAGTCACACCGGTGCCGCCATCTATGCATGGACCTCTGGACGACCAGGTAAACGGCATACCTGAAACAATTGAAACGTTAAAGGAGCATTAACATCATTTACGAACGTACCTGGTAATTTCTGACGCATGGAATAAGCTGCTACCATCATTTCAGGCGAAACGTAAGCTCCTACACCGATTATAGTTTCTTGGCTGATATCAGGCGGAGTACCGATGGTACTCAACGCGGGCCCATGGTTTCCGGCGGACGCGACCCACACAACGCCATACTTATTAACTACTTCATTCATCAAGTCTCCTATGCGCCTGAAAACATTTTAAATACAAAGTTGTTTTCAATACATTTTTAGAACAAAGAGAGAGTGCATTTGTTAGTAACGCAGCGACAAGCTTACCCGCAATCTGAAAAGTGAGCATGTTCTCCATAACTCATGTTAATAACATGGATCTTTTGTTGTTTTGATAGTTCCATTAATTTGATAATAGCTCGAACTAAAGCGGTACCAGTTTCCATAGAACCCAATCTACCATCACCTATGGTAAATGAGGCAATTTGAGCACCAGGAGCAACCCCACACTGTTCTGGATTGTTGGGAAAATAAGCAGAAGCAATGGATGCAACATGAGTACCGTGACTCGCTAAAATATTACATAAAGATATTTTTGCCAACTATGGTTAATTAAAAAACTTACAACATAAACCAACCAACTCTAGAATATTTCCATTATCATGCACATTCATGCTAAAGTTTAAATTGTCCGCTGGTGTCAGCGGTGCATAATTCTGAGTCAAGCTATATTCCCCTAGAACGGGACACTTTTCTAAATCTCCCTGTTCGGTCGTGTCTACGCAACAATTCCACTTTTCGCCATCGTGAAAAAGAACACAGTCGTAAATGGGTCCAGCGTCATGAAATTTTTTTTCACTGTTTGTTAAAATTTCTAACTTAGCTTCAAGATCCTCTTTCATTAGTTTCTCAGTGTCTGATAAATTTGAACCTAAAATGATAATGGTGTATCAGTTTTGAAAAAGTGGAAGGTAAATGGAACAAACTTGTATGCTTGGAATCAAACTCAATTAGTTTTCTGCTGGCTTCAGCCACGGCCTTTCGGTGGCTCTCGTCCCACTTTTTTTCTTTGTATTCGGACGCCATACGTTCCTCTAGTCTCTCGGGATACAAATCATAGGCGTGTTTTACGCCAATTCGGTAGTTATTGGTAGGATTTTTCCATGTTGTTGGGATCTATTTAAAAATTACAATACGCATTCATGACTGTTTTAAATGTCACTCAGGAAATATATCGTCTAGATATTTAGAAGCTTTTTAGTAAACAGTGCCGCCGAAATGGCAGAGATAACTGCCCACGGATGTCGCCTCTATCGTTTTATTGGCAACTTTTAATCTTTCATAATGCACGTAAATTCTTTTACGTTAGTATTTTCGATTTGTCAAACTTGTATTTTTGACATACGTTATTTTTGTGTACTGATAGTTACTGAACGAATTGTTGTACTGTGAACTTTGCTCTCTGCGCTTCACATGTACAACAGGTTATGAACTTGTAGGTAAGCAAAGCAGTGTTTACCGCTTGCCGGGCGGGTGCCCTTACCACTAGACTACGGAGAAGCTTATCTTTCTCCGCTTACCAGCGTGTTATTGTGCGGCCACAAACTTATGCTCCACCCACTTTCATAAAAGCTTGTAACTTCATTCAGATAACCTACTCAGTACAAACGTCGCACCCAAACGACAGCATAAAAATAATCTGTCTTTAGTAATATAGCAGCGGACGTTCACTTAAATCATATTCTGCGTTTTCAGCGTTATAAATTTTTAATAAGCTGATATTTTTGACAAAAATACACAACACGATATAACCAGGTATATTAAAAAGTGAAGGCGCAGCGTAAACTTGGTTGCTTAATTATGTACGCTAGCCTTGATTGCACGTCTATATCTTGAACCATAAGCGAGATATTGCCTACTCAATGAAAACATTTAGTGCAATACATAAAACATATGATTACCTTGAGCTTCCTGCCAGTGATCCCCGTGATGCATGAATCATTAGGCTGCACAATTGTACTTGTATTAACATCCCCGCAGCCACTACAATCAAATCTATGAATAACTTTAACTTTTCCATCAGAGGTTTTCTAGAAAATAAAGTTAGATCAGAGTTTCAAATTCAATTAAGCTTACTTGTAAACCAGGGGCGCCGGGATCAACACCTGAATCAAAAATTGCTATAATTGTTCCTCGTCCATCATAATCAGGATATTTGTTTAGGAACGAGACAACTGCTGTTTCCTTTTTCGGCAATAGACCCCACACAGGAAATTCAAGTTCAATTGGTAAATCTGACATAATTCGGCAAAACCTACAGATTAATAAAATAATGCCTTATCACTCTTATTATAAATAGAATCTAAATTAAATACATTAATCTGTGCAAATATAACCTTACTAATTTGCAAAATCATCATTTTTTATAACTGCGTAAAAAGCAATACTATGTTAAAAAAAATCTTACCTATGTCTTCACTTTACTTAATTCCAATTCCTTTATTATTTTTGGGAAAGAATAACACTTTGTCCTGAATTTCTTACCACCACGTACGTCACTGTTTTGTTGCTAATTTTGCCGCAATGAATTGGCTAAATGAAGTTAGGAACAGGTTGGTGACCTCTATTGGCAACACCATTTCCCCTAAAATACCAGTAGTTTCAAATTTAAACGTCACGAGCGCCAGTTTTAATTCAAATTGTGCAATTTCATGGCTTCGAAAGCAATTTTTTCAGTTGTTAATAAACATTAGGAAAAATTGAAAAGAAAATTAAATGTCAGGAATGACACCACACGAAAGATTTACTTTATTTGTACTGGAATGAAGCAATTTTAATCACAAATTCACCAACAATTTCTGTGAACTACGTTGATAGAGAATTAGTTGCCATATGTGCTTATATATACTCCAGATCATAAAAGTTACAATTGATTTTAGATAAAGTAGGGGCTCTTTTTTAAATATTAGGTAAATAAATAATTCATATATGATCTGATATCGTCAACAGGATTATCCATAATATCGTGCATATTATTTTATGGAAAAGTGTATGAAAATGACATACGGACACTAAACCAGATAATAATGTTACAGTTTGATATAGATTCTTATCATATTAGATCTGTGTATTAGTTTACTGTGTTTGCATTTGAAATATCATGTGGAATAGTTATTCAAATTAAGCAAATCAGACAAATCAATAAGTTATATGACAATATCATATGCATGATATTACCAACGTAAAAATATACGCCAAAATATTAAAAAAAAAACAAGAAATCTTAATCTGCTCGAATAATATATCAAATAAATTCACAGTAGGTGAATATCCCGTATGTTAAACATCTCAGTTTTTGGCACAGGAAGTAGTACTGTGCAGATTATTCACCTTTGACCTAATAGGCAAAATTTGTCGTCCTTAGTTTATTCAAAACAGGTGAGAATAAATTATATATGTTCCAAATTTATCGAAGATATGCGTAACTTAGTCATAGTCAAATAAGTCAAATAAATTAATTTTGGGAAAAAATAAAGTTGTTCTAGTAGTAGTCTACTTTAGAAGCTTTACTATTAGACGAAACATATAACATTCCTCAAAAAATTTTCGCAGGTAACCCAGAAAGGTCAACAGCGAGAAGAAATATTCAAATGTGATCTACTTTACAAGGAAATTTCAAGTTCTGACGATCTAAACACAAACGACTTAATTTTACATTATTTTTGTACATTGTTTGAAAAGTCATTTTATATTACTTATACATTTCGCTATTGTGTTCGTTAAAGTATTCGATTGTGAACAATGTATAATTATTGTATGGTCACGAACTGAAAATTAGTACTATATACGTCTCTGATTGTTCATAACTATGTATAACTGTAATTAGATATAATGAACAGTTGCCGTTTTGCATAGAGCTCTCACTGCATTGTCTGTAATTTTTAAATTACAAAATTTAAACCACCTGTGGTGTCTTTATCTTCCAATTTTCGTTACTTAGTTTCGAAACTTTAAAACAAAATGATATTATTATTCATTATTCTTTTACAGGTACTTAATTAATAAAAATTTACTCCAACTAGCCTAGGGTTTTTGCGGCGCGGTTGGCACTTCTGTAATTTGACATTTACATTTACGGGTATTGACACTTGGCTTTATTTATATCAACATTTTAGCTCAAAATTAACAATGTGGTACGAAATTATTCCCAGTTTTGGAATTATTGTTGTTGCTATGGCTGTTCCACACGCTGTTTCGTATGTAGCGAACAAGTTAGTGGTTGGTAATGTAAGTTTGTTTCATAACCTACAAATACATTATTGATTATATAATTCCTTATTTTCTGTGTTTGCAGTTCTATCGTAGGGCAATGTTGGATAAAGAGGAAGCGTTGCAGTATTTGAGGGACACAAGAATTGCCGGTGATCCATATACGCTAAAGGTATATGCAAATATATTTTTGTGACAGTACTCATGTTTATGTTGCAGGGGTTGGAGAATATTCCAGATCAGTGAAGTGTAGAATGTAGTAGTAAATCATGTATAAAGTTTTATTTAATAAAAGCCGTTAAAATTTGGAGGTTGTATTTTAGGGTTTGTGACAGTTTGTGATTGTTGTTTTTTATGTTAGCAGCTAGCTTTGAAGCTTTGTTGTAGTGTAATTTAATTGTTTAATTAGTAAGCAAAAGAGGTATAACTGAGACTACATATAATAAATAATTGTTGAAACGTGAATCGCTTTTCAAATTTAGCGATCTTTAATTTAAGACAAAAATGTTTGTTTAGGCAGCCAGTAATACACGTTTGCATATTTTCTCATTTGAAAGCTAGGCAACACAATATAAAAAGCAACAGCTTTGGACTAGTTTTGACTTCCTTTGGTCTCATCAGTACCTGTATTTCAGTGATTGTTGAGAATTCTAGATTATTTACTTGACATATTTAAGAGAAGCAGACGAACATTACTATATATGATGTAGGTAGAATCCAGAACCCATCAACTCATTCTTTCATATCTGCTCATGCAAAATTTGTGTATCTCATGCATGATGATCTATATTGCCGCAAACCTACACCTTATAATAGCTGGAAACTATTCATTTGTGACATTTTGAAATTCTGTATCGGTTTTCAAGAATGCTAACTCTGTAGAGGTGTGGGCACCGAATTCCATAACTACATGTGTTAAAATTAATAGAAGGTTGAAGTGAGATAGATACAGTGTAAATTATTGTTATCTTGCCAAAAATGAGAAACTTTAGAAGAAAAATTTACTGGAACGTCAAGTTAGTAATTTGCACATGTAGAATTCGCACAATTCAGCCTCAATAAATCATTTTATAGTCGGGCAGTTTTAAAGTAAAGCTACGCGTTTGATGGTGTGTTTGATAAAACTTCATCACAAGAGGAAGTTTATGAAGTTGTGTTTCCTTTGATCAAATTCGTTTCGTCTGATTGTAGTACATTATTTGCTTATGGACAGTTAGGGACTGGTAAAACTTACGCGATTATAGGTCAAGACGCGGCACTATTACATTAGTGGAAATTTATAAGGAAGATGTATACGATCTTTTAGTAAACGAGAGTGCGCCTTTAAGGTAGGTGATTAATAATAATAATAACAGTAAGACATAAGTGTAGATGATATTCTTTCATAAGTATTTTATTCCAGAATGTTGGATGATCCTGTTAATAAAGATTCTATTTATAATAAAGGACTCAAGATATTCCCATCCGAAGCATTACTGCATTATACGACTTTTTAACAAGAAAGCTTCAGGGAGACAAATTACGTCCACTAACTTTTAAGCCGATTAAGCTGCCGTTTTTATACAGTATTCACCATTATTCTCAGTATAAGGGGAATGCCAACTTTTGAAACCATTAAAACTAGTAAACGTCAATTAATTGTTCAGGCGCACAGACTAGCAAAGGGTTCTTTACTGGTCTGTGATCCGGCGCTACAGAAATGCGCGCTAAGGAAGTAGGTTCCATTAATTACCCTCTGCTAGTCATTGAAGCTCTGACTCTAAAGCAGCTTCCTACAGTCCAAGATTTTGCAAGACAGTTTATGATTTTTTGAAAGCGGAAGACGATTTCTACATGAGTAACGCGTATTATCAAGAGATTAAGAGGATGTAAGAACGAATCGTGTTGCAGCGGTATGACGAACTTAGTAACTCTTATCATAGTACCAGTTCCATGGTCGAGAAGGTTGAGAACGAACTGGTAGAAATTGAAATGGAACAAAAGTGTGGACTTTTTAGCTGACGAACAGCCAAATGGAAGACATATCTAGGATCGTTCTTGATATTGTAACGCTTCGACAAAACATGAATAAAATGGACAACGCTAAAAAATATCAATTCTGTCAACGAAATTCTTAATCTGTGAATAATTCTCTTAAGATTCAGCAAGAGATGAGTGTAAGAACAGAGTCCATGGAAAGAACAACCTCGAGGATCATCTTGCATCGTTGTGTAGTACAACTTTTAAGACATGAATGAGAATGAGTATCGAGGAAGTAAAGACTTACGCTTTAAAATAAAATGTAGATGTAGAAGAAGAAAAATGAACAGCAAAATTACAGTAGACGCCTTGGTCATTTTGTATTACTTTCTAATATTTAAGTCAAACCTAGTAATTTCGCATGAAAGAAAATAAAAATGAGTGTACGCGAGTCTTTTAAAACACTATCCGCTCTTATTAGGAAACAAACTGCTACACTACTAACAAAAATATCCTAAGTTATAAAAATCAAATCAAAATTTGTAACATCAAGCATAAGAGAAATTCTCAGATTTTGTAACAACAGTTAAGGTCATCTTTGTGTTTTTGATTGTAATATTATCGTGTTGTAATTTGTCGGTACTTAAAACACAATTACACAATTGGGTGAATCGCGTTGACGTTGCGGAAGAAAATCTAGAGAGTACTTAGAAGAAAATGTACGGGAAATAGATCGTCTCATTGAACATGTCATGAGAATATGTATCAGAATGATTTGAAGCAGTTTATAGAAAATGTTATTAAGATCTTCGAACCAAGGAAAAGGATTTGAAAACGATTGTTGACACTAGTGACACCTTAGATACGGAAGTTTCGAAGACATATTGCAGGAAATCATGAACAATACTGCGAACTGCGAACGAACACGAGGATTTCGGCAACAATAAGTGTTATATTATGGTTCTATAGATTTTGTAAGTTGTGTTTCGTGGCTTACGCGCGTGGACTTTCATTCTCCCTGGTTTAGTGAATCGTTAAATTTATAATTCTGTTCTCTACAAGTTTTTAATTCTATCCTTGCGTTGTACCAAACGGTACACCGAACGCGATACCAGGGTTGTCGGGTACTTTCTGTAAAGGACATTTTGATAGAAAAACCGAAAAACTTAAAAAAAACTTTATTTTCTTATGTTACAAAATATATCTATTTTGCAAATTGGATATATTTTTCCTAATAACAGTTAATTAATATGTTAGTACTTATTTGGTAACAATTTATGATTTTTTGTCGTTCAATATTTACATTTGAAATAAAAATCAGGCAGAATAAATAATCAGTTTAAGAAAATGTTTTTTGTTTGGTATTTTTGTAAACAATCACTGAAAGTTATTAACACTAATTATCTGATTAATCCACCCAATGAAAGATGAAACTTTTACGTATACGCCTGGAACATCTACTCGACCACAACCGAAACCCCATGAGACTAAACCAGCAAGTTCATAGAAGCCATCATCTTGACATACCAATGGCCCTCCACCATCACCCTGCAAAAAAATTGTTCTTTAGAAAAGCCGTTAGAGCGGATTTTTGTTGTCTTCAAAGCGTTTGAATCAAGTACTGCAAGTCATGCAGAGGGATGGACAATCCCATATGTACAAGGTATATTTGTATATAGTGTAGTCTAACTGTTGAACTATCGTACCTGACATGCGTCATTGCCCTCTTCGCCGCCTGCGCAGAAACTACTTGCCGGCAATATGAATATTTTCTCAGTGACTGCGTTAACTTTTCGAATACATTCGGCGTCGCTCACTATGGGAATTTCCGCTTCTCTAACTCTGAGTGGAATAGGACCGGCTTAAAGAAATAACAAATTCAGAAGTGAAAAGAAACTGGAAATAAAAAATTATGATACCTTCTCCCATATAACCGTAGCCTGTAACTGTACATCGTTTTCCGGCCGCGTGACTGACGCCTCTAGCCGGTAAACAAACTAAACAAACTCCTTCTTTTAACTCGGCTTGCCCGTGAAGTTTGAGAAGAGCGATATCGTTATCTAGAGTCTGACTGTTATGATTATGATGGATGTACGTTGTGGCCACTCGCAATGTTTGCGCGCCAGGACTACCATATTTCCGAGTCAGGTCATGGTCGCCCACTCGTACGTAGATTGCATCTCCTGAGCGGACAATACTGTGGAAACAAACGTTAGCGAAATCTAAGGAAACCAAGAGCAACATACTTTGTGACGCAGTGAGCAGCCGTTAGCACCCATTGCGTTCCGATTAAAGCAGCTCCACATAAATACTGATTGAGAGAATTAATTAAAGCAACTTGCCAACACCATTCAGCTTGCTCACCATCTTCACCTCCAACAACTCTACCAGTTCTTGAGGTGCCCTTAACCCCACAGACATATTTACTGTACATCGGAGGTTTCGACGTCGTTGATATAGCTTTCGTCGATTCTAAAGCTGCAAGTTTAAAATATGAACCGTAGGAGGACAGACAGTGCTACAGGACTACTTTGTGAAGTATCGGGAACAACGGCAGTTGTGTGGTCTATACTAGGTTGAGTACTCAGATTACTGGAGTTTTCTTTCTGACCGAGTGCTTCCTTTATCAACGATTTGGGGGCGCAACATTTCGTTCCGGACTTCCGACACTTAAACATTTCGGTCATTTCCGCGTTACCTAGACCACTCGGATTAGAATTCTGCCACAAAGCTTTTACATACTTACGAAAACAGGTGAAACTCAGGTACGACACAATGCATGACCCGGGACACTCATTTCTGGGGTCCATCGTTGTGGTGGTGGTAGTTAGAGGAGGTTGATGTGGGCGCGGTTTTGGTTTTGATACTGTCACTGCAGCTCTCGTATTGTCGCAACAGACCGATCCTCTTTTACAGTTCAAGGTGTGAGGTATTAGAACTGACGGTCTTTGGCAAAACGCGGCCATTATGTTGAGAAGGCAAAAACCCGGGCAACCCGGCCCAGGATCAGGTGTTGTAGGTCTTGGGCTTGTCGTAGTTATCGTTTCTTCGCTAGGCTAATAAAAAAGTTATATAGTTTTTACTATCTGTCGATACTTACCGTTGTGATGCAACAGCTGCCTTCTGAAGGACACTCCGCTTCTGTATCTATGTCATCGCAGAAAAGCGCGAATAAACCACTGACACATTCTCCTTTGCATGGTTTTAGTGGTGGTCTTAATGAGGATGTCTGTTTTTCCAAACTTAACGGTTTCGGGGTTGTCGTTAGCACTTCCGTTCTGGTATAATTAGTTTTCGTTTTACTAGGGATTATTAAATTCGGTGGAATTTTATCGCCGAAAGCGTCGCTAGACATGCAGCATTTGAGGTTCGGTTTACAAAGGTCTTCGGTTGGTAAAATAGCTTCGCAGTAATCGGCTATGCGTTCGGCTACGCATACTCCAGGACAAGCGTTCACTGAAGCTGAAAAATATTAAAAACTACCAACTCAGATACGATAAGACATACCAGGCTCTTCTTTCGTCACGTTAGAATTCTTTCGTTTAATCTTGTCATCGGAAGCTATCTGAAAACTAAACGTAGAGAATTTGACGACCCGCCATCTTCAGCAACTTGCCTGATTTGAGGTATTTGTCGTTGTTGAAATTGTTGTACTACTTGTTGTTGTTTTTTCAGTCGTCGTTGTAACTATGATGGTTTGATTAGGCATAGACGTATTCAGGGGGACTTTTTCTGTAGAATTGGGAGCGGGAGGTTCTACGCAACATTTCATAGAAGATGACGGACAAACTACATCTTCCAGTACATCGTAACATATAATTGTCGCTATGGCATGAACGCACTTTCCTGGACAGTCTTTTGCATCGGCAGTACTGGTGATAGTATCCAAAAGGCCTGACAGTCATGAATATAGTTAAAAAAAGTTTATATGCCGATTTCTGCTGTGGGTGTTCGCCGAGTTTAAACACAATTTGGTTTGCAAAAGCATCTTAACCGGTTTAGCAACATAAATACTGGATCTGTAGATATTATTTTAACGGTTGAGGAACTTTATCAAATTTCCCACTCTTAAACCGCACTGATAGCACTTCATTCATACATCAACAAGCGATTCTTTGTTTGTTGAAACCGAAGTGTTTATAAACGTTTGCAATGACATAAAGACACGTCAAAAATTATTGTACTATTCAGAATGTGTGTGTTCCGGAGTGAATATAAGTATTTTAAAATTTAAAACCTAATTTTACGCTTTTGTGTTAGAGATTCGTCTCACTTAGTACAATCACCCGTTACTATTAAAAATAATTAAAATTATTTCCAATCGAAAAACTACAACACTGTACAAAACAAAAACACGTTTACGGAAAGTACAAATGAACGACTTTCTCTACCAAATAAGTTTGAAGGTGGTAGATTTTTTCAGATTATTTTAATAATTAGGTAAGAGTACAGTTTGTTAATTACATCCAACGCTGTCTTTATATTAAAGTAATTTTTAGAAGCACTATATTTATGTGTGTACAAAAATAACCAAAGTAAAGTTGTTTAGTAATTGTCGACCACGGTGGTAACATAACGGCTACAAAGCGCAACATATTTCGAAAAGTTTAGAAATTAAATTCCTTACATGTTACACCCAAGTTTAACCCGAGTTTGCAGTCAGTAATTATACTTAAACATGAAATGAGCACATATATTGTTTTTAATGAATCAAATTGTACATTGATTTGTGCCTAATTGTTTAGCGCGATTGATAATATGCCTAATTAATCTACGGTTTCATATGAATTAATGAAATTAATGACATTATTCATGTAACAAAATGTTGTAGTGAAAATGGATTGTTAGACAAATTCGATACACGTTTCAGGTTTCAATAAATTGATAATATGTTAATGTATAAAGTGTGTTTTAATTAATGAAGCCCGTGGTTTTTACTATTCGAGTCTCTTTCTTTTGCTATGTTATATATATATGTGTTGGTTGCGAAAGTCAACAAAATTAATGTTATTAATTTCGAGAATCTTAACTGTACGTGGAACAATAAAGTGGTGCGTAATGAATACAGGTAAAAAATAGTATTGTCACCACAATTGTGTCAGCGAGTTAGAAATACTGTGGATTAGTATATTATTCTGCTGTGTGAGAATGACTAAATTAAAAGTTGGTGTCATTTAAATTTTAATTAAGGGTTGTATTTATTTTAGTGTAAATGTAATTTACTCCGGGGAGGAGAGTAAATACTTTAAATAATTTGAGGCGTTAGAGCGTGTCGAATATTATCTTGAGGTTATTAACTTTCCGAGTTTAATCACATTTTGTGTGGCGGTTATATGTGAAACAATGAAAGTCTTCGCAATATCATGAATAATATGAATGTTTGTGTTAGTATTGCGACGCATAACGTAAATAAAAGGGAATGAGAATTTATGTGTCTGTTAAAATATGTTTTGACAGAATGTTTAGAACAATTATCTTGTCTCTATACAATTCTCGGGAGGACATAAATTTCCTTTAATATCCTGTCTTGGTCTTTACAACCACAGTGCCACTCTTTAGAAAGGATTGTTATTAAAACATTTAAAGCTCTCTGTAATAGAAAAATACGGATGATACTGAGAAAAGTTTGAATATTATAAATCATTTTGCCTAATACCGGGTTCACTTGTACGCATTGTGTATCGACAAATTTGTTAAATTTCGCCATTAATAATAATTGGTATTTGGGACAACTTTGCCGCAATTGTGAGTCATATTTCAGCTATCGATCAATATGATTCATTGACTCCGGATTTGAGCCCAGAAAACCGAGTCTTTTCTTTTTCGGTTTTATTTGCCATGTTTGTAAGCCAAACACATATTTATCGATGTGGTATTTCTCGCGAGATAATGATACATAATCTTTATAATATTTGCATAAAATTAATAATAGTAGTGAAGAACGCAGTGTATTTTCAGTCGTAACGGTACAATTAATTTCATTTAAGGTAGGCATTAAGACAGGATATTTTCTAAGTGAGGGAAATAATTGGATAAGGTTCTTGTTCGTGTGTTTATCTAAAGGCAGTCGACACGATTTTTCACTTAATTCTCTTCGTAATGAGTCAGTTGTAGTTCAGTTAAAGGAGAACTGGAACTGTAGCTAAAACCTCATTTAGAAGAAAAATTACAATCTTTAAATATTAAAACGGCAGGCAGTGCGTGCGTATTAGAGGGCGGGTCGATTGGCGCAAGCCAGTACTTAGAGCAATGCAAGGGTTGCTTCGCGGACCGGTGCTGTTCGCATATTCGGGGGAAATTTGACAGGGATAACGGTAAACGCGGGTACCGTTGGCGCGGACTTCAAATGGGGTGACATACCTGAAAGAAAGCTTCCTGCAAGGGAGTCATCTTGAGCTCCTGCAAGTGCACTACACAAAAGCACAAGAGCAAATCTGGCGGTCCGAAACATTTTAGCGCTCCAAAGTGGCCCCGACACTCACCGTCAACACGAGCGCATCGTTTGGCTACAGAAAGCCGCGACTGTTTCATTCATATGCGCAAGTAACTTGTGTGCAATACGGAATCGCTTCCAGAATTTACCGTTGCGGATGCCTTCTGTATTGGTTCAAGGCTCCTCGGCGCAGCACTTCTTGGTTTTACTCGGCCATTCGTATGCTGACTGCCAGAGTGCACAGTTATCCGTTGGTTTGCCCAGAACGAGGGCCTGGCCTTGACTATATATCGATGATGGTCAACGACCTCTACGTTACCTTGCGTTTCTTACCTCAACATATACTTGACTCCTACATCTCGCCATTACTTGCGCCTTCGACCTCTTCGGAACGTGCCCGCTTCTACCCGCCGAGGTTCCTCCTCATCATCCGCGAAACCTTTGTATTCGCTGCGAAATTACCGGTTAAATCACCAGATTTCAGACTCTGATATGCAGATTTCTTTTTAAATTTACCGTTACAAGTAAATTTGTCATCGGCTTTGATTTCGCTTCCACTCCTTCATTCGAACTTGTTTTATATTCCAAACGGTCAAATTATTTCAATGGATTCCACAAAAACACAACCCGACCTCAGCTGCTACTATGCCCTCAGGCATTTCCTTATTATTAACATTTCTTTCATCTATACACACACTCGCGCTATTTGCATAATTACGTTTTTCCAAGAGTTCAAATGAACAGAGCCTCAAATTGCAACACTTCGCGCTAAAGCGACTGTCTAAACATTCGTATGTAGTCCTACGAACATTATGACAGACAATGTTCTTATTGTTGTCTTTGGCGGCACTCGTTCTAGGTCGGTTGAGGTAGTGCGTTACGTGGAGCGACTCATCAATGTAAAATTTTAACACGTATCACCAACCTCATCATACAACGTTGTTAGTTTGCAAAAATTACTACTGAACGTTGGAAAAGCCACATATATACACAGTCATATCAAGGAATTTTAGAGAGTTTACACAATCCGATGACTTTATAAAATTCCAAGCTAGTTTGTTTGTGACAACGTCACTCAGTCAGACTTTACTATGTTGGAACTCTGCCATCATTTTATAGGTAACATCCGAATTTTTAGCACTATAAATTTTTAGAATCGGCATGCGTACGCCGGCTGAAAAAACATCAATATAAATGCGATAATCCATTTTAGAACTTCTGACAGTAGGTCAGAAGCGAAACTGTTAAAAAAACAAACTTTGATTCAAGGAATTCACTTACCTACTGATATCACATGAACTTGAAATTTTATCGATCACCAAGACGATATAGCATTATCATACCTACCTGTATGCATGCATTCGACGATCTAGTTTCCACTACTGTAATGTTTGTAAGTGGGTTGTTTCAAGTTATACGGGCACTCGAGACGAACGTTATAGTAAAAATGTAGACCATTTAACCAGAAAAACTAAATTGTCACGACTTAAGACAAAACTATGTCTTGTAAATCTGGAGAAATTTGTGTACTATGTATATAAATTGGTTTGGTTTTAACTGTATTTGAATGTACTAAAGGATTGGCAAACAAAGCTTTCGCATCAAATTTCCGAATCCAGTGTCTGATCCAATTTGTAAAATTGTTTTACTTGGGTCAAAACAAAATATGGCTGATATAAAGATTCCGAGTCGTTGCACAGCTAAATCCTGATAAAAGTAATACTGTCTTATATTGCAGCTTAAACTAGTGCAGTTTCGTAGCTGTGTAACTAGGTGCTTTCAAAAGCGAGAAGCCCGAGTTCTGTTTCGTTAAGCGCAAAATTGGAAAGTAAGAGTAGATTTTGTATAGACGTCAATTGAATTAGTGCAGCTGATGCGTTGTGACAAAGTATAACAATAAATCATCGTTGGAGTTTTATCTCGATCGAAAATCAACGGAAAGTGGTTGTTGGTGTTAATTGTTTTGTAAATATTGTAACTAGTACCTGCATCTTCATTGACACATTGCCATAACCTACTTACGAGCCATTTCACTCTATACTGGCATTGTTGTAGCTGTCATTCGGTAGCGTTACACATGTGCATGAGTTAATTGCTTTCTTTAGTTATTCTAATTGAAGAATTACGGGGAATTTTAGTGGTTCGGAACGAATACTCGGATGATCTGATAGTAAGTGGATATTGCAATGTAAATTCTCGAAGCTCGAAGCTCGATATTTATAGCTTTCGATAAGAGCGGTAAGCACTTGGCTTCGGCTCTTGAATAATGCCTGGAACAATATCTACCGTGTCAGAGCCGAATGTTTCATTTACTTATAGAAAAGTTTAGTTATAGACTTCATAACTACTTTTCCATATTTTGGTGACTTCCGAGCTCGTATGTTTGCACTTTTTACTGAATATTTCATTCCTTTATTATTTTACTTCCCGACTTGAATAACAAACGTTTGTTTGAGTTTTTTAAAATGAGTGTTTATTTATTTGTAAACTTTACAGTAATATAAATTACACACTACACATCTTATTTTGAGATAATGAATTGTCGATATAGGTACTCTGTAATTTGAATACATTTAGAACAGTAAAACAAAGAGATCTAATTACCCTATGATTAGTAACCTCTGCACTGATTTTCAAGGTGTCGGATGACAATGACGTCGCTAGTAAATTTTGAAAAAAAATCGGCATGGCTGCGCGATTTTTTGGAGGATTTAGAAAAAATACAAAAAGTCTAGCGCCGCCCCTGTACTTGTACACAGCAGTGGCTTACATTTAAACTACCTACTATATGTACATTAATTTACACTGTCGTTTCAGAATTGATGGAAATTGTTGCAATCGCTTGCAAACTGGGAAATAATTATTGAATTAATTAAACTGTAATTCCATTTGGATATTTATTTCACCATCAACAGAACTTTTCATCTACATTATATGAATAATTACAAAGTTACACATGTTAAAAATGACCAAAATTATATGTATACCCTGTTGAAGCGAAATTAATAACACTTTAATTATATAAATATACATATTGGTTTGTTGGACCAAAGTTTTTTTTTATTTTTTTTCATTTCGCTTAGAGGACAACAAACAGAAGGATGATAACAATGACTTCTACATTTATTTCTTAATTATACACATTTTAAACACTGGGAAACGCCATCAAGAGTTGTCACTTAAAGTTTAACACTTTCATTCAATAACAGTTCCTTTCAGTTCCTGATACAGAGTCACAGCTTGCACATCAACAACGAATAAAATTTACTTCACTTGCAGTAGGAAGTTACTACTTTAATTCTTTACGATCTCAAGCAAATTCTCCTGCAAAAGTCTTTCTTTAGTATACTTCATCTTCAAACTATATTTACACAAATGCAAAGTGTGTTTTGTGTAAGTCCGAATACTTATGCAACACGAAAAACATCAACATTTATATTCGTTTCTACTATTTCTGTTTTTTTTTTGCTTTTTTGTAGTTGTTGAAAATTTTTGCTCTTGTTGAAGTTACGCGCGACTGACACCTCAGAAAAATAGCTACCTTGCGTCGCAAGAGCCGTAGACCAAATCATTGTACAAGAAAGATAATCCCATCACTGCGGCAGTGGTCACAAAATTGATTGATAGTGCAGCTGATCCAGTTTGCATAGCGGCTGGTCTTTCACCTGAAACAAACAATGATTTTTCTCACCAAATTATTCACCATAATAGTTAAATAAATATTACAGATCCCATCAAAACTGTTGTGCGCACGAATCAAAATGTTTCGAGATTTCATTGATAAACTATCTCTTTTAGCTACTTACACAATAGTTAATAGATAATGGTCTTTAGTCACGCTCAGCGGAAATTACCGGTTTTTCCCCCCATACTGAATAACTTTATTGCAAGAAATACAATGGGAACTGTTGATTTTATTGATTCTTCCAATACATAAACTACACTTTACATCAGCTGCAAATGTCTCGTCATTGCCGATTTTATTGCCAAAATGTACGTAATAACCGTCAAATTGTCAAACACAACAGGCTGAAAACTTTCAAGTTTTAAAACCATTTTCAAACACATCTTGAAATAGCCAGTTTAGAGCTCCAGTTGAGTTAACCGAAGCAATTGGAAGATTTTCTTTGGATTAAATCAGGTCAGGGTTATACATACCTGTCAACAGTGTCACTAAAACTAGGTACACTGGGAAATGTAGTCCGTTCACGACATGGTGAAAAAACAACAGTTTCAGACGCCAGACGAAATAAGTAAGTGTACGAGACACATATGGTTAGTGAAGAAATTTTTAAACCGAGAAACAATACGAAGATATAGGAAAAAGCATTGTGCGCATATTAATTTTTGTATTTTCTTTCAACTCTTCTACGGTTGGTTTTGAAACTTGGGGGTAGTGATAAAAGTAACAGTTAGAAAAGATTTTAGAAGAATAGCAACAAGACCAATGACCTGAAGTGAAAGTAAGAAAACACATATAGTATAGAAAGAAAATTAAAAAAGTGAATAATTAAAATGAAATAGATAAAGAGAGAACGGTGAATGAGTTTCGGGTGACGCCATACGTGGGAAGGAGAAGGTGTTCGGTTGGTTGCCTGCTGTAGACACATGTCGTCTTAATAACACGTTTCGGAATTAACCGGACCGGATCGCATCACGAATTTTGATACAAGTGTGTTTGGTTTTATAAACCCGACATTGATATTTGCTCCAGATTCTGCTTCAGAATTTATACTCTAGCAAAAAGAACATGAAAGCGTTTAAATCAAATCGCACTTGTTTTCGTAGTTAGCAAAACAACCAATTTCCAATTTTCGATGCGCCACTTTACTTGATTTATGATTCTTGTGCCCGCTTATCGATTAATTACAGTTTGTTTCCATTCAAGACTAATTAATTAATCTGAAATTGAAATTACGCATTCATTACAATCACTGTTATCGTCTTTACAGAGTAAATGCCAATAATTTAGGGCCGATGTCTCAAGGTACTCTACTTTAATCGAAAGGCGCGATTTCTTCCTTTGTTAGTCTTTAGACTACACGTTTTTGTTATTTGCCAAAGTGCGGATATTGAGAATTTGTTGTTCGACAATGTCGGCTTGTTGATGTCACGTTTTTGGTTGAGCGAAACGCTGTAATCCTGAAAATTGTCCTGATGGTGTTAGCGAAAAACATAAAAGTTTTTTCACACTTTGATGCTTTGTTTGTAAAGGTAAATGGGATGGAGTTATGCAGAAATGAAAGTATTATATAGATCAACGGAATTTTTTGCACGCCATCCACATTTCTGTCAAAGCGAAAAAAGCCAGCGCTGATAATAGAATACAGCTGTGCTTATTCACATTTAGCTTAAAACGTATATCATAAGTAAATTAAAGTAGGAAAGTGTGGGATAAATTAATCTGCGAATGTGTTACTACGTGATTAACGATATGACGTTTCTAGGCCTCCAGCGAGGCCAAATTTACACACTTAAGTAAGTTATTTACACTGTTATAGACGTTCCACCATCATAGTAAGTATTTTATAAATTAATTTTTATCAAATGTCAGTGCAGTTCGTCAACTACAAAATTAACCTGTCAAACTGTTAAAATCATCATCGAGTGTCAGGGTTTCGATAAGCATACTGCACAAACTTGTTGGCAATAGAATCCTCAGTAAATAATTGTTGAAAATAAGGTCTTGTACAAAAACCCGACGGATCTGACTTTCCGGATTAGTTGAGATTTGATATAAAGTTAAAGAGGGGAATAAGAGTAGAATAACAACAAGACGATGGTGGATTTCGCATATTGAACATACCTTTTTTGTGTAACTCCATCTACTAATATGGGCTTTGATTCCTTGTGGTAAGAAAAAGCATGTAGACGCGATAAGTTTGTTGGCTTGGGTTTGGAGGAAAATTGGCTCTTTTCCAAGCTACTCTAAAAAATGTAAATATGTTTGCATAATTAATATCCATTAAGGCATCGCAGTGAGATGCGTCGTACGAAAACTACTACGTGAAAATACAAACTATACTGGTTGATTAAGCAGAAAGCTGGGCTTATTCCAACGGCTGCCATGCGGCATCACCGATGAATTGATTGTTTCCGATCAGTAAAATGCTGCATAATCCTCGTTGATTATCACGGTTCCCAAACGATTTCAACGCTGTTCAAGCCGAGGATTACCGTTTTTTAATTTGCTTTATTCACCATTGACGGCAAAAAGGGATTAGACTTAAAAATTATATATAATATATGTTGACTGGCTGGGTACAAATAATGTATTGAATTGGCTAATCATAACCCACCGGTTTTATCCCGATCTGAGCACATGACTTTGTGACTGCAAATTTTCAACGTTTTCAAGGGCTTAACGTAAGCCAGAAAACTGATTAAAGGAGATCCAATCACAAATGATTGATTTCGGCCACGGAAAATTTAAATGCACGTTTATAAAACAACAGAGATGAGCTCATTTTTGCCCACAGCATTTGTCTGCTATCTTTTCAACAACATTGCACAATAATAAATTTAACAGCTAAACCGATTTTCAAAATGTTGCTGCTCGAGGGAACGCGTGTTTACACACAGATTGCGCCGCCAGATTATATACATTTTTAAAAATCAAAAAAAACACTGTTTGCAGATTTTTTGCTTCAGCTCACATTAAAAGGTATAAAAGCGTTTGATAACACATCAAACTTTAAAACTGTTTCAGGTTACAAATAAGACGCTACGCACTTTATTTAGTCATCCGGAACTCTCTCTTCACATAAAATAAAGCGGGGCACAGATGAGCGACGACGCCTTTGTAGAAAATTTTATAATCGAATATCACGCGTGTTATTGTTTCTGGAAAGAACAGCTCAATTAAGATTGCTTTTTACTTTTTCGCTCAACAGAAACTTGGTACATAAATAGATCTTGGACTGCGAAAAATGGTGGAGGTGCCGGGTGCGCCAAAATTGTCATCACAGTCATTTCATTTTTTGAAAAACAATACGACCGTCAATTTGTCTGTGTAAGCCTTAAAGGAGCGTCTCTTTTCCATTTCCTCAAAATTACATCTGTATTGGCGTGTTTGTGGGTTTTAAGTGAGGTATTGACGAAGTTGAGAATGTCCTCAGGTCATAAAGTTTTAGTGAAACTGTAAATGTTTTGGTGGATTTTTCTAGATAAATCTGAACGGTTGTGCAAGTGTCGCCATGGAAAGTGTCCTTTTTTTATATTCGATGTGTTTCGGGAGAATGCGGGCAGATAAATTATCATCTATCAGATGTCGAGTCATTTAGTAAGTTTCCGATCAATGGGTCAAATAAGACATCCAATACATCCGTTGTCAGACTGCAATGCGGGATGCACAAAGAGATTCCGACAAGATCGATCCAGAAGTTGTAAATTAAGAAGTAAAACACAAATTGGACATCAAAGTCGCTATGGACAATGGAGCAATTATTTAGTGTCAAAGCAACAGGAATTCATTTCCGTCAGATCTGACGGCCCCGGCGATTTAAATTGAAACTAACAAATTAGCTCTTCAACAACAATGCAGAAGAGAAGGAAAGTTTGTGATTAAATTATTGTGCATTAGTGGAAGAGCCGGTAACGTAGGTGTGGTAACTTTGTTATTTTAAGCGCACCCTCGGCTTGATTAAGAGGAACATTTTTCAGGTTTTGAAACAAATAAAAGGTGTGTGAAAGTTTCGAACTTGAGTTAAAGTTTAAAGAGAACCGCAGAAAAACACGTGCATTCACATAATTATCGGAGGGCGATAGGTGCTTAGGTCAGTCCCTGATCTTCAATCAACTGTAGGTAATTACGTCGTGATTAATTTGCACTTTTCCTATTTCCATTGTCTTTCTTTCCATACTAATCGAAAATCAATTATTTTAATCTTGTTCATTTTACTTGCTCGTCTGTATTCTTAAAGAGTAGAAAATCTTGCAACAAAGAGTCGTAACTTACCGTTTAAGACATGAACCCTGACACTGGCGACATCTGCGTTAGAAGGACTGCAAGAATATTTGCCGGAGTCTGAAATGTCAGCATGTTGGATTAACAAGTAGCTCGTAGTCACTTCCCCTTTTTCAGTGATGACGCTAACGCCGCCTCTGGTCGAATCGTAACTTATTACCTGTAACAAAAGTTCTCATTTCACACGTTTTAATCGCGGCGGTATTGATCACGTGATGGATGCGTTGCGCAGTTAACGAAATTTGCATTTGAACAGGAGAAAAGACGAAAGGAAACGCGGATTATATGTGCTTCCTGCGTCTTAACCTTTTCTTTCTTTTCTCCTGTCGTATTTCATTGTGGGCAAATTTTCTTTACTGTTATTGTCGCTTCGTTAAAACGTCTATTACGTTTGGAGATTTGGATTAGCTCATTACTTCATTTGCCTAAAACCATGCTTTTAATTTAAAATCTTTTATTTGATGAACAACCTGATAAAAACTTATTTCCAACTTGTAATTTATGTGGACCCTTGACATCCACTCTAACGTAATTAGGGTATAAATTTTTATTATTGTGCACTCTGGCAAAATATCTAAATTGCTACGTACTTGCACTGGCTCTTTTTACTCCACGACATAACGACCAACATCAAATTTTTAAAAGTTTTATCTTCTCTCAATCTCTCGTTTACTTTTTGTGAACATGTACTGTAGTTATTAAAGCTGTTTAACAACTGCTCATCTCTCCACCTCAAATATACGTTCTTTTTTATTTTAAATGTGCGAGATAAATCAGATCCCTCTGAGCCAGGTAAATGAGCACACAAAACAAATACTTACTTCCTCTCTGTGGTACCAAAATATGTAAGCTGGAGGTTCCGGGCTGAATCGGATCGAGCATGTCAAGTTGATGGTGCTTCCTTTGTCAACATGTAAATCGGGTCCTCCAAGTATTTGGGCTGTAGGAACTAAAATTAAGACACAAATTAGCAGCTTGTTAGATTACTCGTCTGTAACCACGAGAGCAATTTGTTGTTACTGTTCTCGTGGTGGCTTAAAACTTCAGCTTTATTGTAGTTATAAGTTGACTAGCGTTATTGATTTTTAAAGCGAAAACTACTACACTATGCTTTCTTAGTTGAAGCTTAAAACTTAATTAGTGCAAACGTTAGTGTACCAGACATGAAAACATTTAGTTAATTACTGGCATACATAAACAACCTGGCACCTGGTGGACAACTACATTTCGTTTTGTATGGAACGTCACGTGATGGCTCGTCGCCTACTAACCCCTCTGAAACAGGTACATTCCAGATGTAAAATTATCTGCGATAGGTTGAACTGTCGCATCATTTGCGTGATATTATTACTATTATCGTCGTCGTAATGGTTAATAACAAACGCTGCTTCAGAAAGCGCAAAGTTGGGAATCTTCCGTGCGCCGTCATGTTTCCAGACACCAATTAAAGGAAATTTCCGTTTTTATTAACACTTATTGTTGAATTATTGTTGTTATTATATTCATCACACCATCTCTTCAGATTGAAATCGAAAGTTTACAACGTTACCACTGTTTTTAAACTGAGTGCAAATGGCTAAAAATTTAATAATTGAAAAACATTGTCTGATCCCTAGGAGGATAGAATTTTAGGAGAAGGGACTGTGTATGCGCTCTACGTAAAATGTTGACGCCAGTTACTTTCCGCATGTTTTGGCGGCCCGCTAGAGGCGCTGCGTGATCGGCACCCGACTTTCAAACAGCCTAAATAGGTAATTCAAAGAAAAAAGTAAATTAAATTCGACTAATATACATAATATCAACAGAAATCAATTGAAATTGAGAAAGAGTGCATCAGATCCATCTATATTATTTTTTTACTCATATAAAATGTAGATGAGTAATACTAGAGGTTTATTGATTACTACTTAACAAATATTTCTTTTAACTCTTAATGTATCAAAATTATCAATTATCAATTATTAATCAAAAGACTTACCTTGTTGTTGCATTTTTTGCTGGTCTGTACCTGTGTGAAGAAAAAAATATATCTTCTTTTGAAATGAAATAAATTTTTAGGAAATTTATTTATTCTTGCAGTAGACATACAAATTACAAAACATGGTACAGTTTTGGACGTTGAATTTCGGGCAGACTCATTATTCAGCTGACACATACTCTAAAATAGCCTTTATTTATCATAACCAAATTTTAACTTTTGACTTGCAGTGTGACATGTGATACATTAAAATAATAAACTGAAGTGTTACTTGTATAGTGATTTTTTCAACGTCAATCATAAGGACAGTAAGGTATAGACTACAGTGGATTTTTTTAAATATCAGAAAATTACTGCCGAAATTCAATGTCCAAAACTGTAAAAGGCAAGCAACTGATTACATTTTAATCAACTTGGCTTGTTTTTTTAATGTGGCGGCTTTATTTTCGGTTTTCTTATTTTCCATCAAATAGAACTGCTAGTTACAGATGATGACTTCCTCAAAAATACTCTTTGATGTACTTGGAATTCCTTCAATCATTAGAGGATTTTTTTTGTTTACTAAAGTTCGTGTCGGTAGTTTCCGTTTGTTTTTTTTAATTTTTGTTAGGTAGCTGGGGCAAATGGGAAAAATTGTGGGTACCGAGTTATGTTTCAATTTTGGATTAACATACGGAATCACTACCTATTAAAACAAACTTAGTGATGAAACTGCTAGGTGCCACAAATAACAATAAAGGTGGATTTATACACATCAATTTAGCATACAAGATTTAATTTAGTCTCAAATTTACTGTATCAGTACGACTTTAGATAAAAAAAAATAACTAAAATTCACCAATAATACAAAACCCTCAATTTTCACGTGCGTTCTCTTCAAAAAAATATAAAAAATATTCGTTAAATTATATTTTAAATGTTATATTGGTTTGCATAAATTCACCCTAAGACATTGTTCATGAACTCACCGAGCCTCATTGCCATTCTCTCAAGATACAATCCGATGTGAAATGTTTCTCACATAAAACATCTCGAACTGACAATTGCCTATCAGCCCGGGGAATATTATGCTGTCATTTCTTTAATAATTCTGGATCTTTAGGGGCAAGAAACAAACTACATTTTTCGTTATTACTTTTGTAGCCACTTCTACAGTTTGGTGCGAAACATTTATTGTTTTTGGGGCTCATCTTCAAAATATAACCTATAAAAATCGGACTGTACTCATCATTTGCGTTGACTACTCACGTTACACTATATGCTGTTAGCTTTGTATATGATAACTATTGTTTATATGGTTAAATAGCAGCTCAACAATCGTTTTTTTCATAAAAATTAACACAAATACACGTACCAACTACGTTAAAGTCGGGTGCCGCTGTACCACTAGCGCCGCGGAAACTCAGCGGCACAATGTGAACTACGTAGTCCCTTCTCCTATTTATTTATCCTCCTAGTCTGATCCCAATGCACGCCAATGGAGTATAGCTACGTTTTAAAGGAAAGTGAACTTAACCTAACTGCATATTAATAACTAGCTAAAAGCGAAAGGGCAAACACTACTTTTCCAGTTTAACGCTGAAATTTCATCAACTTAGTTTCTGTTTGTCAAGCAAATAACCAAGGTGGCGCTGCACTCGTTGACAGATGGTAATTTTTAGACACGAATTCTGATTTCTAATTTGTGGCACACACGACAACCGATATTATTTGAAACCAACTGCAATATTGATTGAAACGTGATTACTACAACTTGAGGGCTAATATACTAATCGTATTTTAGGTTATGGAGCTACGTCAGATATAACTGCAAAGTATTGAAGCCATGTGTCATGTGTTTATGCTATAAAAAAAATTCACAAAACAAAAAGAATTCAGAAACTAATACACCCATAACTCTAAGAAGAGGACAAGTTCAAACACGCAGAAAATACTAACTAGGAAGAAGGGGACAAAGTATGAAATTGTTCAGAAATTCGAGAAACGAAAAAATGTAAAAGACGAGATAAGTGCAACTCTAAACAGGTAAAATGTTTAGGAAAGAAATTGGTCGAAGGTTATTTCAACAGAACTTCCCTCGCTCCAGTGCCGCAACCCCTGCGCCCCGGCTCAAATTATTAAATATTCAAACTGAAATTGAGGAACCCCACACGGAACTAATTTTTACTTGTTGGATTCTTTGTCTCAAATAATCTTTAAACCAACTTAATAAGGGTTCTTGAACTCCATAAACTTCTAATTTTTATTTCCCGATCGTAAGCTAGGAAAGTATTGTATTCGAGTCCATCGGACGACTGGCTAGTTTAATGTTTCTTGGACGTGTCATGATACCAAGATTCCCAACGACAAAAAGGGGGCAAATATTGGTTTGGAAAAAAAACAATGTAGGGTGTATTGAAATAAAAGAACAAACACATGCAGGACTAAATATAACTAGACTACAGATTCAAGTGATTTTATTTAAATGTATAATTCTACATTACTGATATACTGATTTATAAAAAAATCTTTGCCATTTGCTCTGTTTCAGTTTGTACAGGAGTACGTAGGGGAAGGTGGAGAAGGAGCGTTAGTGTGAGTGGAGCTTTAGCGCTTCCGGAATAATAGAAACGTCTCTTAAGGAAGCACGTTTGCGTAGATGGTGTTTTTTTAATAAGTGAAAGATTCGTGGCAATTAGTCGCAGCGCGAGATCAAAAGCAAGTGCAATATTTGCTGTAAAAGTTCGAAGTTCGGTTGAAATTATAAATGAGATGAGTGTGACGATACCAGTCGGTGTGATTTTGCGGAGAAGTGCCCGAGGCTTTATGCTAATTTTGGAGAAATTGTTATTCTAGGGAGATTTCCAATTCGCAATTTTGTTGTAGCGTTAATAAGTTGCATTCGCATTTTGCTGCAACACAAATGCTTGCCGCTGGAAATCAATTTCCAGGCCAATTCAAATTTCCAGATAGACGCCGGTTTTTCTGGTTGTCAGCAACACCGTAAATGCTGAATTGCTTTGCTAATTTCGCGCACTTGAGATAAACGAGGAGCTTTTTATTGTTGTAAATGCAGTGTCAAACATACTCACCGACAACATTAAGGTTAACGAAATAACTCCTGACTGGTTGTGTGCTAATTTGACACTCGTAAATTCCGGCATCTCTCTTTTGCGCCCACTTGATCTGCAAAGTCCATTCCTGGGTGTCCTTGGTATGATGTGCCTGGAATCTCTGGTCGCTGGTGTAAGTGTAACTAGAGACGGTTAAAATGTGAATATCGCGGTGGCGAATCCATGAAACCTGAAAAAGAATTAAATTACAACTATTTTAATCAACCGAGAGGATATCAGAGAAAAATTTCTCTATGAAGAAATGAACGTTTAAATTACTCGGGGAAGAAATTCAATTAGGGACTGCTACCGACATCTCTATTACGGTTTTAATAAAATTAATCGCCGTTTAAGGAAATGCACTTTCAGCTATTGTTTCACTACTACTACCGGTATTTTTGAAATAATTATTGCGCAACTTCCATACACTCTAATGCTTTCCAAATTAACTTACATCAAACGTCAAGAATAACCCAGACTACACATTGTTATATATTTTTAACTGACTTTGACGCCGCGACAAACTTTTTGCATTGCCAAAAATCGGTCCTTCTCAGGACCACCAACTAATAATATTTTGCACTGACCTTTAACGATGAATGAGTGCATGAATGAACGAATGATAACCAGCAAAAAGTTGGTTTTATTTTCAATTGAAACTGAAAGTGTTTACATCGTTTAGCTAATAACAATAAAATTAACAATAATAATAATAATAACTTTCGAAAAGCCAGTTTTGAATATCTGAGCATCTGTTGTGGTATAACAACAATTAAACTGGTTGATCGAACAAAACAGATTTACTGCAACCATGAACATAATAACGCTTTCGGTTTTTTTTTGTGCACTTTTTTACAATTTGCGATAGATAGATTTACACATTCGGTGGTTTATGATCTTAATATGCGATTCCGTGTCTAATACTGTGGCGAATTAAATTGAAATCCGTGACTTCCTGTTAAGTAGAATTAGAGTGCACGTCCACAAAACTTTAAACTGTCAATTTAATCCGTCAAAATAAAATGGCTTGGAATCTAGGAGTAACTATCGATTTTGTAGCTGAATTGAATTGCTCAGCGTGATTTGCAAAATCAAATTATTTTGACTTCCCTACACAGGGCATTACTATATTATGCAACAAAAAATATTATATAACCGTAATTTTTTCGTAAACTTATCAGTTTAGCTCGGTTGTGTAAGAGTGATTACGTGACAAAACACACACACTTGAGTTGTTAAGGTTTGAATAATGCGGAAAGAACACTATTATTGTTTCAAAAACACGCGGTGTGACAAAGATTACAATCGTCTTTTCGTACATGTAGTAAGTAGAGAAATAGACGTAAAATTTTTTTGACGTTGGCATTACGTGACAGCGGTTGAATTCTTTTCTATGTGAATCACGAATTGCTATATTTGTGTTCCTTACTGATTTCGCCCCCTTAGATCAAAAATAACATCTATCAGCTGTCCACGGATTGCTACACCAAATAGACCTATACGTGGGACTCGAATGACGTCACAATTCGTCGAAAAAATATTTCCGTTGTAGAGCGACAAGTTGAATAAAAAAAGAAGGCAGACATTTTCTCTGTGGAAAAGAGACAGAGCGATCGTATATTAGTATGAGTCATAAATGGAGCAGTCGGGTGGATTATCTTGTAAGATTCTCTCATGACTTTCATTATAATGTAAACTTGTTTCTGGTTTTGTATAAAGTTTTGCGAGTGATTAGATGGGACACGTGTCACGCGATTAGCCAGGCCCGAGTGACATTTTTAATTAAGCGGCGTGCATATGAGACTCAGTAATAAAATGTTGGTTTATTAGCTCAACGTCGGTTCAGCGAATCGTGAGGAAATCCATTTGTGTTGTTCTTATTAAGAGTTTGCAGCAGTCTTTGCCGAGTTTCGTTTAAATTTGAGTCATTGTTTCAGACATTGGCAATAGAGCGCCTATCAGGTTTTGTATAGCAGCGCAGTTGCTGAAAATAATTTACGTTGAAAATTGCACTTCTGAAAGTAAGGTTTCATATTCGCTGTGTCATCGCGGTCGGTTATTTGTGTTGAAAAAGTTGGGAGCAGAGTCGGTATTTTTTGAGGCGTTGCGTGTTTAAAGAAAAAGCATTAGCCTATGATAAATTATAAAATTAATGAACTGTTTCGTAGCGAGTTGAAATTACCAACAAAAGGAGCTGGAAATAGGGCGGCTGGTCGCAACAACATGCGAATGATATGTCCTCTTTTCTGTCACAGTTCGACTTGGCGTGTGTTTCAGTCAGATGGTATGAATATATCCTAAGTTAGATACGAACTTTGCTCGTAGTTTAGTTGAAATCAGGCTAACATTCCCAAATTTCAATTTGGTTCAGATTTACCACTAACAAGTTTCCTAAAAGCAGATTATCACATATTAGGTTTCTAGTTAAGCGCTGTTTGATGAAAATAACCGATCTTTTCACGAGTTTACGCGTTTCCGTTAATAAAGAGACGCAAAGAGACAACACTAGGTTCACCTAGCGGCATTACGGCTCGGGATTAAAGAGACTATACTTTGTATTTAACTTAACAACAATCTCGTTTGATTTCAGATCGTGTGTGTTGAGAGTTGAGAATCGTGATAGTGCGGTTAAATTACAAGAAGGTGTTTGACTTCACTAAAACATACCTCCGCGGTACGGATATGAATTTCTTTTATCAAAATTCGAAATCGACAAATGTAATAAAATTGAATATCGAAATGATTTTTTAAGCTATATGCAAATTTTCCTCGATGTTCGGTTTTCTTCAGGAATTTTCTAATATAGGGAGCATTGTAATCTACCCATGAAAATTCCTTTTATAGATCTACATGCTGCTATATTATATTATTTTCTAAATTCATTCATATCTTATCCACCTAAAAAATATTGGATTGTCAAATGGATTTGTTTCCAACGGAAGTTTCACCCAACTTCCCAAACTTTTTTAAACTTTGTAAAGACAACTTCTTAACTTTTATTAACTCACAGTTTCTAGTTTTGATGTTCATAATACGTGTTATTCATGAATTTGATACACAATTTTTGTCTGCGTGATATTCGAAATATATAAACCAATGGTGTAAAATTATTAACACTGTTTTAACTGCAAACTTAAAGCAGATATTCCTTTAAGAAACAATGCCAATTTTTTAATAAAAAAAAATCCTAGAGCTTTTTTTGGTCTGGCGCGGAGTACAGGGAAATCGGGTGCACGATGTACAGTTGCGATTTGATTCTGCTTCGATAAACGTAACTTACAATTTGGAAAATCAAAGGGAGTTTGCCTTATTCTGGCAATTGAAATAGCTGTGTAAGCTGACATGAATTTCCTTTGAAAAGTTTAATTACAGTTATTACCAGAAGCTTGTTAAAGTTAGTTTTTGAATTATTTGTTTTTAATGTGAATGGGGAAGTGAGTCGTGATTTTATTCAGGGCAGCGCTTTTTATTTCTAAGGCGATCATAATCACAAAGTTTGAATAAAAACGTAATAATTGATAAGGTTTCGAGATTGCGTCGCCGTAAATATACAAAATAAAAATTGCATAATTCTGCAATAATTGTAGTGATTTGCTTTCCATGAAAAATTCATATGTTCATGCTGTTTAGCGTGTGGTTGTTGCAGCAGTAATGGCTGAAATTATGAAAAGTTGAAAAGAGCTGTGCGTTGGAAACACATTTGGTTGCGGTTTTTGAGGTGTGTGGAAACTCGCTTCTATGGAATACCGTTTCACGTAATTACGTGTAATGCTTTTGTCAAAATTCTAACGTAATGTAATCGAAAAACACAAATAAAGAGTGAATATGAGTAAGTGGAACATCAGTTATCAAACCCGCAGCAAAAATGGGCGAGAAGTTATTTACTTTTATGTTTCTCGATAACACTTCCACGAAAATAAATCCGCTAAGTGATAACCCTGTTAAAATTTTAAAACACGAGTATAAGAGAATTTAAATTAAGCTAGTCGATAGTCCTCACGATTCACTGCGCCAAAAACTTCAACGTTTCAAGGTTGTACGAGTAGAATAAAATTTGCAAGCCCGATAATATTTTAGTGTTGTCAGAGTGAAAGTTTTTGTTCGTCTATACGTGACAAATAGATGTGCGAAAGTAATTTTAGTTAAAATGGGGTGCTTGGGCAAAAAATTATTTCTCCCATCATCTCCACTGTTATTTTATTAAGTTGAAAGGCGCAGGAAATTGAGGAAAGGAGCAAAGTGAAATATATTATCATACATCAGATCGTTTCCTGATACGTTTTCTAGTGTGTAAAACAGACTTTTGTCAAGTTGATTGTTCCAATTTGTTAGTCTTCCGATCAGATAAAAAGAGATCTGACTTTGTGATATTTTCTATAAATTGTCTTACTCCACTCCAGCACTTAAAAGCGAATGTGGAGAGCCGTAAAACGGAGCTTAAACTCCAGTCATTGCACAGTTTTCATTTTTTAAGTGCCACGTTGTTTTATACGAATTGAAAACACGACCTCGTTATCCATTCGAAAAATCATACGCAAACTTTTAATTAAATTTGAAATTGTGCGAGATAAGTTGGTTTATGGCCCGCAGGTTTTATGACTCTCTTGACGATAACCTGAGGACACACATAAGATATGTATAACTAACACTTTTCCGGCTGTAAGACAAGCTGTAACATTAAAAAAACATAAACATAGGAAAAGCACAGTTGTATACCTGGGCAGGATTTTTATTGTTCCTCTTGAGCTTTTTTATAACTCAACTGTGGATAATTTCCGGGAACATAACGCCAGTTTGGAGCTGTATAATAATCAAATTTTTTTCGTATACGCAGTGCTTGTAAACGAAATTATCGCTTAGATTTTAGTTATTATCGTGAATATGGAAACAGTATTAAAGAAAAGTTTGGTGTGAAGGGCTATCCGGTTTATATAAAATAAAAGCAAGGCTCTAGTGTATTCTAAGAGATGAATGAATTTATAGATCAGCTTCCATGGGATTTCATCCTGTAGAACAGCGAACAGGCTTAAAAGGGGTAGAGGTGGAAAGAATGAAGGGGTAGCTTTCTAGCTAGAGTGGACCAACAGGGAGAATGTAATTAATGACCCAAAAGCAGTAATTGTCAGTTGAGCTAGAAGCAATCTAATCGAGACTTGAAAACTTGTTAGTTTTTAAACTTGGCTACTTCTG